TTTAATGTAAAATTTTAAATTAGCTAAGGGCACAATCTTAGTTTGACAGCAGTTTTCAAAGAATTTTTTTCAAAAGTAAAAAAATGCCAGAAAAAACTTTATGCTTCTAAAGATGAGGTACCTGTATCTGAACTCCCTCAAAATCAATAGAGCTATTAAAAATCTACATGAAATTAAGGTTTTCTCCCCCCTCCTGATTTTTAAATGATTGATAAAAATCAAAACCTGGCTATTTGGCAATTTAAACTTTTGCTTGGTGACATTTCTCTGCCACTTAAAAATTTCTGTAATCAATTTGGAATTTATTTGGTGACTTTAGTTTCAGAAATAAAATCTACAATTTTATGACTGAATTATTGATGACAATAAGTGATGTTTTGTCCATGTTTTCGTGTACAAACAGTTGGAACTTTAGCAATTCCATGACAATATCCAAATGGTAACATTCACATTAAGACCACATTCACATTAAGACAACTACTGCAGTAACAAATATAATAACTTGTAAAATTTTGTGACATTGTATGCATGTTTGATGTGCAATAATTCTCATTTTTTGCCTTTAACTGTGAATCATTAATTGTTAAAGCTTTATTCTTTTATTATAAAACAAACAAACTAAACAAAATTGTCAGTTAAAGTCAATATTGAGCTCTTTATCTAATAATATAAATTGAAAAATATCCATTTATCATTTAATTAATTGTTCTGTTGATTTTACCAAGGTATGGCTGCAAATTGTCCTGATTTTTCATTACATCTATCATAATATCCCAGTTTTTAATCTTTACTAAGAAAAACTACCAAGAAATATGTTTTTCAGCAATAAATGAAATTTATTGAATTAAACAATTAAAGTGTGAAAATTCCACTCCCCTACCCTTTGTGATTTTCAATATAATTTTTCTTATTAAATTTTATTCAGTATGATTTCTCTTGTTCTGCTGTAGATATATGTAAAATTTTTATGAAGATTCAACCAGTATTTAATCAGTTAATATTTGTATTTAATTTGCTTTGCATCAGTATAGAGTACATTATTAAGTTTATGCATGCAGTAGTAGAATATTACTGTGAATTACAAAAATTAGAGAATGCCGACATTGTCGAGTGAATATAAACACATATGATATACATCGGTGAAAGACTGAATATTTGGTCATATTTTTATTAATTTAAATCATGACCAATGTTTGTTGATAAGCACAGATATATTCTGGTGGAGGTCAAAATGAAAAGCCAGGAAAACAGACAAAGGGGTAACAAAAACACCAAATCCTGTGCTGTGCCGTGGGGTCAACGTAGCACCCATTTGTTACACTCTGGATCGCTGCTGTTTGTCAGTCTCATGCAAGGTTTGCTGGTGTGTGTAACGTTTTCTTAATTTATATATACATATATATTTTTATCTGGTACCCTAATTATATTGAATGACTACTGCAGTGAACCATGATATTTTTATGAAAAGTTACATGCATTAAATGTGAGTAAATGAGAATTGTTTGTATTTTTTTCAAGAAAAGTACTCTGAAATACATTCTGAAGTGATTCCTGCTAAAAGTAAGTGCAGCACACATTTGGATTTCAGATGATTAAAACGGTTTGATGTTTTAAAAATTAATGATGAAAAGAATTGTATCATTAAAACCAGGAGAAACTGATATGCAGTATTATTTTAACAATGATGAATTGTTCAGTATACTATTTGAAGCTCACATTAGAATATTCCAAGGGGGGAGAATACATATGCTTAAAGAATTGCAAGTTAAATACAAAAGTATTACATATGAAGTTGTAATGTTGTATTTAAATTTATGTAAACAATTTCAAATGAAACATAATGCACCTTGTTGTGACACTAGTGGTACAATTTGGAGTTAAACTCAAGATGCCAAGTTTATCTGATAATGTCAAAACTCAAGATGTCAAGTTCATAATGGTGTATCAGGATCATTTGACAAAGTTTGTCCAACTGTGACCTTTGAAAACTAAGTATACTGAAGAAGTATCATTTCATTTTCTTTAAATATTTTTAACATTTGGTGCCCCAGCTATATTGCATTCAGATAATGGTAGGGAATTCAGTAATCAAGTCATATCCAAACTATTTGCTATGTGGAATGATGTTAAGTTAGTTTATGGAAAGCCTTGTCATAGTCAAACACGAGGCTGAGTTGAAAGGTCCAGTCAGGATTTACAGAATATGTTAATTGTATAGATGAACGATAACAATACAAGTTAATGTTCAGGTGGTTTGCCCTTTGTTCAATTTGCCAAGAACACTACATACCACAGCAGAATATGCCAGAGTCCTCATGAAGTCTTGTTTAACATTAAACAAAAAATAGGCATAGCATCATCATCTTTGGCCGACAAAAGTATTGCAAATATTGAAACTAAAAAACAGCTCAAAGAAATTGTTAATACTTTTAAAGAAAATTTGAGCAATGGCCATACCGAAAACCGTATTCCAAAGGAAAATATTGAAAAGGAACTGTCAGATACTATGTTGTCATAGCAAGAAAGAGTGATTTCTGCTGCAAGCAATGAAAATGTTATGAACATCAAAAAGAAAATTTCCCTCTGCTCAAATTGGAATACTGTACCAGTCTGTATGAATACAAATTCCTTATGTTGGGTGTGGTCGTAGAGATGACCGAAATATGGTGGCAATTGTTGAAATAGAAGACTACAGCTTCTGTAAGAAGAGTGAAAGGAAAGTGACTGAAAGAAAGAGTGACTTCTGCTGCAAGCAATGAAAATGTTATGAACATGAAAAAAAAATTTCCCCCCTGCTCAAATTGGAATACTGTACCAGTCTGTATGAATACAAATTCCTGATGTTGGGTGTGGTCGTAGAGATGCCCGATATATGGTGGCAATTCTTGGAATAGAAGACTACAGCTTCTGTAAATTAGCAAACAAAAATGCTACCCTTAGGCAGCTGAATACCCATAATCAGTTTGTAATTTGTAAAGAAAAGTTATTTTCCATAGATGATATTTCTTCTAAAAAATAATGCTGAGAGAAGCAGATGTAATTAATTTGAGAAGTGGAGGGCAAGGCTATACATGCTGTCATTGAAAAAAAAAGTATTTCATGGCTAAATACAGCTGTAAAAGTGAGGGATTCTTATGCATTCCAAGTGTCAGGGCAGTTTAAGTTGTTGCAGTAAGATTGTATAAGGTCAACGTTGCAGCGCGCAATGAACTGGAAGTTGATCTGTCAGCACTATCCTTATCTTCAGGGCAGATGTTTTTATTTTATTCGGCTTATAATTCCTTACTAAATGCAGTATTTCATCTCGATGTACTCCATCTTTGATATGATTTAAATCAAATTCCTCGTCATTATAAATATCATGAATACACATCAAATAGTGTTCTGGTTGCAATTTTCTAATTTCGAATATGCGTAATGTATGCTTTACACATGCACACATTGAAAGAAATGTTTAATAAAGTAAACAAATAAATATTAAGCTCTTTTTTTTTGTAAATTTTGATACCCTTTAGATCATAATTGCTCTTTATTTCATAAATTATGGTTTCATATTTTTAATTTTATAATTTCTGCATGCCATATTACCAGATTTAAAATGGTGATCTATAATCCGAAAAAACCAATAATCCGGAATCACCGAAGTCCCAACGAGTCCGGATTAAAGACTTGTGACTGTATCTAATTAAATATTTAAATTTTATATTTAAATTATTAATATTTTTAATTATTTAATAATATTAATATTTTAATTATTTTATGTCATAATTATATTACAAATAGTTCAATAACCATAATTGTGCATTTTAAAATGAATTAGGAGTTCTTAAAAATGAATTTGCCACGTAGCTTGAAATTCTCATGGAAAATCTCGAGAACCTCAGGGTTTTCCATATTTCAAGATTAACAGCTATATGCTAATGTAGGTTTATTAAAATTCAGATTATTAAGTATGTTATGAATTTATTACTTTTCTTCTTAATTGGCTCAACAACCCAGGGTGGCCCCTTGCCTTCTCCAGGCATACCTGATTTTGGCAACTATTTTTCAGTTTTTGACCTGCAGTCAGTTTGTGACCTGTTTTTTTTTCAGTTTGTGACCTGTTTAAGTCATTTTCAACACAATTAATCCATCTCACCAGGGGTGTACCCTCAGTTCTGGTTCCCATGGGCTTTCGCAGAAAAATTTTCTTACAGTACTGATCTTCATGCATTTTGGCCAGATAGCCAGCCCGTTTAAGTTTTTGTAGTTCGAAGAATTTTATTGTATTAGGTTGCCTGTAAATCTTATACAGCTCTAAGTTAGATCTTCTTCTCCACAAACCATTCACACTGACACAACCTAGTAAGGAATGCAAAATCTTTTTCTCAAAAATCTTCAAAGCTTCCTTATCATATAAAGTCAGCACCCGAGCTCCTGATACATATGTCAGGACAGATAAGACTCTTGCAAAGACGTAATTTAGTTCATATCATGAAAAAGCTGGATTTTAAAAAGCTCTTCAGGCCATGAAGCCATCTATTTGCAGCAGAAATACTTTTAAATACTTCAGAAGTTATCTCTTTTTTACAGTTTACCTCCATTCCCAGATAAGTTAAACTGTAGAATTTTTCAAATCTATAGCTACTAATTTCTGAATGGCTAAGTGGTGAGTCAGATTTTAAACAAGGTATATATTTAGTTTTTTTTTTCAATAACAATTTGGTTAAATCTTTTTTCACCTTTTTCCAGTGCCTTGAATGCTTGTTTAAGAGCAGGAACAGTATGCTTAACAATGCAATATAAATTTAATTGGTTTCCAAAAAAGTGCTATTGCAGTATTTTTAACTGTAGCATCAAAGTAATCTGTGTAGTCCATATAGTAATACTGTATATTTATGTTTTCTCCCAAGAAAAGGAAAATTTATTTCTTTTACTTTTTTTAATTTGCATTACTTTAAATTTTGAACATTTTGCATCATCTAATTAATCAGCAACTTCACATTTCTGTTTAATTTTAGTACATGATGTCATCAACGTGTGGGAAATTCATAAAGAAAAATTTAGTTCATTTGGAATCGAATGCACTGTAGAAGAAATTACTCAGCCAGTTTCAAAGTATCTTAGCTGTATAGTTTGTCATATGAGTCCTCAACTATTTTCCAGACCTGAAAGTTATAAATTAGTTATTGCTAATGAGCAGGTAGGATTTTATTTTCATCTTTGGTTTTTAATTATGTTATATTGAATATTTGATTTCGCCCCCAGAATTAGAATTTGTTGTTTACCCAATATCTGCTGATATATTGAAAACAATCTGTTGATACCAATTAGCAATGAAATCAGGTTTTTTGATTTTTGTTAGGCAGGTAGTGGTATAAATTGGTACCAAAATATTATGCTGCAGTTAGTGTTTAAAATGGTACCAAACAAATTGTTATGCTTTCTTTCTACTTCCATGTGAATTCTGATGTGAATGCAAACAATGATGAACTGTACCCTGTTGCCACTTATGCCATTTTACTGATTCTGACATACATTGAATTTGATATTTAAATATCAAAAAAGGTGCCAGAATTTCAGCCAAGTAGTTGCATTGAGTTGCAGGAGCTCGTAAATAATCTGTTATCACCAACATGCTTTAAACTTCTCTCCGAAAAAAAGTTTTAATGAGAAAAGAAGTGAAATGAAAACTCATTCAGAACAGCTTCTAAAGTTACCAATATTAGAGTCACAAGTGATATTTTTGCGTTGTGTTAGAGGGTACCAGATAATCAACAAGTATTTCTGAATTTTTTTGATAATTTCATTTGAATCTGTGTGTGCTTTGAAATATATTGTTTTAGGAAATCAAATGTGTAAAAAATAATTTATTTAAAGCTGAACTTTTTACTGTATTTTAAATTAAAATTGCTGTGTGTATTATTGTAATTATTTGCTGTGTTATTTAACTGTATTTATTAATCATTTAAATAATATGGTTAATCTTTGTTATGTGAAATGCACTTCATTAGTCTCACTGATGAGAAGAAAGGTAGTTCTTTCTATCATGAAAGAAATATGTATCACATTTATGCTTATTGTATTGAAGGAAGTTCTTAGCTACTAATCTTTAATTTAAAATATTTGTTTTATCAGTGGTTGAGTGGTAAAATCACTGAGCTCTGGTAGTTCAAGGCAAATAAACTATAACTACAGAATTCATGGTATATAAATTCTCTTAAATTGATGTGAAATTTAATTTCTGTTTTGCTAATCAAAGACCTAAAAGTTCTTTTTTTGAACTATGCATTAAGTTGCTTAATGCAGAAGTTTGGCTATTGCTAATCACTTTCAAACATGCTTTACATTATTGATCACTGAGTAAATATGTGCCTTCCATTATTTCTAAGGAATATATTTTTAGCAAATTTATCTTAAATCTGTTTATTGAGGTAAGATACTTCTAAATAATGTCGTTTTTGTAAGTAAGGACTTGAAATCATCATTAAAAGAAATATATGTAGATTGTTTATAAAAAATCACTTTAATACTATGAAATTAATACCTTAGTAATTAATCTGATGTAAACTGATGATGTAAATCAAACAATTTTTTTTATTTATTTTAATATTAACAATATCTATTCAGTATTACTAGATGCATTTCATTTCTAACAATATATTTCATAAGACAATGCAGGTAATGTAGATCAGTTTATTAATTACAGCAAAGCATAAAGAATTAATGTAAAGTTTGATTCATAGTTTCAAATAAAATGTGTGATAAGTTTTGTTTGCGAATTCTATGTTAAATTTTTGGAAGTGAATACCGTGAAATTATTAAGTTAGCAGCTGCTAATTTAAATGTAACAGTAACTGAAAGTAAATGGTAGTTTATATATCTAACAGAAAAGCTTATTTATTGTATCAATTTCATTTTTCGGTGCAAATTGTTCAAGATAAATTTCTGCTATTAATTCGGTCCACAGAAATGTGTTGTTTTTTTTCATATCATATTACTCTTAACCCTTTGGCCTATAACCACAAGTCTGATTTGTGGTAAAGAATTTGTGCCATAAACAAAAGCCACGGGTCTGACTCGTGGTAAAGAACGTGTGTCATAAACAAAAGCCATGAGTTTGGCTCATGGTAAAGAATTTGTGTCATAAACAAAAGCCACGAGTCTGCTGACTTGTGGGGAGGAATTTGTGCATAAAATGTCGTGTATTATTATTAAAAGAAACAATTGCAGTTATTCTACATCGAATATTTTTCTTTTGATTGTAACATCAGTATTTTGGTGTTTTCAGTTGTTTCTGACAAAACTGGATGATCTGTTACTTTAGTTCCCCATAAAGCTTTGTTATGTTCATGAGTTTCAAATATAATTTTGTATAAAGAATTAAAAACTCTTATCCCATCATGCCAAACTCTTGTACCCATCATACCCATCATGCAATTATTTTTGTCAACTGATCAATTGATTATGATTACACCCCAGACGTCTTAAAATTACTATTTGACCTAAACATTGTTTATTATTTTACAATTCCTTTCGTTACACTGAAGTATATATGTCATGAAAAGTGTATATTTTGCGGCAGTTAGGGTACACGACTGTACAGTTGAGTGGCACAGCGCATGACTGACCTTTCTTGTTTACTATAGCTTGTGCAATTGGCAGATATCGTGTAGGCCAAGGGGTTAACCTCTTATTTTTTCAAAATTATACCGCAAAAATGTTTTAATTTTGTTTTCATGTTCTCCGTTAAAATATCTTTAGACTAAAAAGACGTCACTAATCAATTGCTAAATCAGATCAAATATTATCTATATTTATATCTATATTTGTAGCTCTCTCTCTATATATAAAATATACACTTTGTCACAAAAATATATATGCACTCAGAAGAAATTGAGCCACAATCATGAAACTCAACAGGAATGTAGTCTGGCAAGAGATGCCAGTAAGACAAGGATAGACACGCTATGTGTATATGAGATGAGCAGCTGAGAGAGTTTAAAAGCATGAATGCTTGTGCCATAGGGTTATTCAAATGAATCTGTTGACTTGAATGGATGGTATTGTGACTAGAGATGCCTCCGAGATGTAACCGGTGGCAGTACGAATAGTTGTCAGACTTTGAGAAGGAGCGAATAGTAGGCCTCAGAGAAGCATGTTGCTTGAACAGGTGTATCAGCTGCCACCTTGGTTAAGGTGATATGGTAGTTGCTCAGGGTTGGCGACAGCGGATCACAGAAGGGATAGTCTACCATCGCAGAAGGTCAGGACGTCCCAGGAACACAAAGGAGCGCAGGGATCATGCAGTCATAAGAGGGGCCACTACCACACCAACAACATTGCTAGCATCGATTCGATGCCATTTACCACTTCCTGGCATCAAGGGAAACCATTCAGAGATGATTGGCTGATGCTGATATATGCTGTTTACATCCATTAAGATGACTACCTCTGACCACACATCATAGACAATGCCGAATGGATTTTTGCCAAACTCAGGCAAGCTGGAGTGTGACCAACTGGAGACGTGTGATCCTCAGCGATGAATCCTGATTCAGTCTCAGTGCTGATGACTAATGCACACGCATGGCCAGGCTAGCAGTTTGATATGGCATTTTTTGTTGAGTGGCATACGACAATTACACAAGGTGTGACAGTGTGGGGAGTGATTTGTTGTGACACACGATCACCTCTAGTCACCTTTCAAGACACTATGATGGCTTGCAGTTACGTGGACAACATTTTATTGCCAGCTGTACCGCATATGCTATCAAGTCACCCAGGTGCCATACTCACGTGGCCTGCCAGATTATCAGACCTCTTGCCAATAGAGCACGTTTAGGACATGGTTTGAAGGCAACTGAAGCTGTCCCAGAATACTGGTGAATTAACTGCCCAGTTACAAATATTATGGCATGATCTTCCACAACGAGTCATAGGTGACCTACTTGATTTGATGCCTTGCCGTGTTTCTTGCTTGTATAGCTGCCAGAGGTGGCTGTACTACTTACACTGGTTTGTAACAATTTTCATGCCATAACTTCTTAATAAAATGATCTTTTATTCTGAGTTTGTAATAATTTATCTCCATATACACTACATACATGTTTTGTTTTGTGATAGTAATTCGTTTCCTCCTGTGTGCATATATTTTTTTTGTGACAGAGTGTATATTATTATTATATCAATCATATTATTTGTTATCAAATAAAATTAATTTATAATTTAATTTCTGCTTAAAATTGATGACATCAATTTGATTGGATGTCATATTTTGTCACTTGATTTTTGTTACACAAAAAATAGGAAGAACATTATGGTGTATTAATTACTAATGCTAACAGGCTCATAGTTTTGCAATTCTAATAAATGAAGACATTAATCAATCCAAAAAATATATTTTCAATTATAATCTTAATATGTCTTAACCTCTTCACTTCTGTTGCAGTGAGAATGAAATCCCCCATGGGCATATGACTTTATTTGCAAAATGCACTAAGGCACACAGTGCTGAATGTCACCATTTTCCTGAGTGAATTTTGTAATTAAGCTTAACAGGAAAAAATAATTTCTAAAAAACGTGCTTTTTGTCGACATTATTGGATTCTTGCATATGTTAAATGTTATTTTTTCTAATATAAAATTACAATATTTATAATTAAAATGAAATTTAAAAATGAGATTGCAACATTAGTAATAATGATTATATTTGCATATTTAATTATTTTTATAGAATAATGAAGTAAAAAACATGCAATTTTAAATATCCAAGCTTATTGTATGCTATTGTCATATTTATATACTATATTTTAAGCTCTGTGTGAAACATTTCTAAGTTCTAAATGTGCATTTTAAGATATTCATAGAATGAAATAATAAATAATATTTTAAAATGAAAAAGGTTAATACTCAAGATATTCAATTCAATTTTAAGTTTCAGTGCATCTTGACATCATTTTTAAAGTTTCAAATAAAACAGTCTATTTCAATATATTAAATATGTTGTGTGGGCCACCAGTAACACTTCACTCCCATGCCCTATTTTATACAGTGGTCTCCTCAGAGACAAACTGAAGCATAGCATATAGGAAATGCTGAGAGCGAAGAGAATAATTATCCTTTTTATTATGAAAAACAGATTTAGTAATCAAAATACAGGTTTAAATGCTATCAGATAATTTTTACAGTGTTTTCTCTGTAACTGGGTCATTTAACCATTGTACTGACATAGGCAAAATGTAGTACTGTAGTTTAAGGGGGGGGGAGTAAGTTTAGCTATGAAGAAAATTAAAAAAATTCTTTACTAATTCTTACTAATTATTCTCTTCTAAATTATTTTCATATGAGAAATCTCTCTACAAAATTTTTGCGAACTGTTATATAAAATAACAGTTGGTGTAATTTCTTAATGTGATTGTTTATTACAGTACAAAATCTGTAATCAGGATGTCCATTATCCAGACCTCAAAGCCACAAACTTTTTTTTGTATGCTTTATGCATGCACGTTTAATGTTATGCATGCATGTTTAATGTTATGCATGCACATTTAATGTTTACGCTTACGCGTTTAGCACAAAAAATGAAGCAACTTAAACAACTTACATTGATGTTTAATAAGGTAAACAAATAAATATTAAGCTTTTTTTTTTTTTTTTTTTTTTTTTTTTTGTAAATTTTGATACCCTTTAGATCATAATTGCTCTTTATTTCATAAATTGCAGTTTCATATTTTTAATTGTATAATTTCTGCATGCCATCTTACCAGATTTAAATTGATGATCTATAATCTGGAAGAACCCTTAATCTGGAATCGCCGAAGTCCCGACGAGTCCGGATTACGGACTTTGTACTGTATATCATACATGAAGACTTCAAATTAAAGAGGAAGAAGTGACTAGAACTCATAGAGAGATATTGGAGAGGAGTATCTCAGAAGTGAAAATGGACACCTGTAATCTTAAAGACCTATGACTTAGGTTTAGAACAACTGTATCTGATACTACAAGTGTAATTTTGGGCTTTACAGCTTGAGGGAAGAGTAGACTTTGGTGTGCTGAAGAATGTAGGCTCATAAATGAATAAAAACATGCTGCATACGAAGGAACACTGTAACATAGTACTAGAAATATGGCAGAGGAATACTGTGGGGCATGGAAAAAGAAAAGAAGATTTTTAGAGCTAAGAGAAGAGCTTTTGAAGAAAATAGATTTAAATAAGTTGAATACCTGAAGAAGACCAATGAGTGCCATGTATTCTATCAGGAAGTCAGCTATTGTCAAAAAGACTTTAAACTGAGAGTCAATTTTTATAGAAATAAAACAGGTGATATTTTTAGTAAAACTCAAATTTTTGAAAGATTGGTCAAGCATTTTGAAGACTTATTAAAAATTAGTGAAAATTCTAATTCTTTTGACATTACAGAGGAAGAAATCTTGGTCGATTGCAGAGAATTGGCACTACCAAGTTTGCAAGAAACAGTATCTACTGTCAAGAGCTTAAAAACTGCAAAGCACCTGGAATCTGTCTCACATAGGGAGAGCTTCTCAAATAAGGAGGACCAAGGGCAAAATTTTTCCATATAATTATTCAAAATATTTGATTGAGTGAGATGCCAGAGAATTGGCTCATAGGTATTGTATGCTCAGTCTACAAAAAAGGAGATTCTTTGGTTTGTGAAAATGACAGAAGGATACATTTAATGTGTACTTACCAGAAAGCTTTCTTCAATTTACTATACAAGAGACTTGTTACTTATGTAAATATAATTGTTGGTGGTTATCAATATGGATTCTGTGCAGGTAAATTCACCGTGGACCACATCTTTGGCCTTGGAAAAATCACGAAGAAATCATATGAATTTACTGTTGATCTGCATATCTTATTTATTGACTAAAAAGCAGTATATGGATTCCGTTGACTGTAAGAAATTGTTAAAAGCAATGCATGATTTTGATATTTCATTAAAATGTATAAAATTGGTAAAATTAACACCATGATCACGTAGGAGGAACAGATCTTGAATACTTTTTAATGTAATGTCTTGAGGGAATTCAGAAAAATGGTGTCTGGCATAAATGATGCAACAATGAATTACACTGAGTGTTCAAAGAGCAGATGTTGTTTATTACTTTAAAATAAGCCTCTCCAATTGGGCTAGGCATGTTATCTGTATGAATGACAGTAATATACTAAAAGAAATATTTTTGGTTAGACCAAGTAACACAAGAAGAAGAAGACTTCAACGGATAGATGCTGTAGAGAAGGGTTGTTTAGTCCTTAAATCTAAGAATTGGAGGAGTTTATCTGCTATTATAGGTGGTTGGAAGAGTCTAGTTCAGAAGGCATTGGTCCAGCCTGGGCTGTCGGGCCATGGGTGGTAGTGAAGACTTTGGAACTACAGCTAATGCTTGATAAAATAGGTTTCAAATCACTTATTTATGCTATTCCTTTCTCATGCTTAGTTTGGCATTTATTCAAAAGCAGACTACATGCATGCATAATAAATTAGACTAAGGTGATCATCGATGAATAAATAGTATTTTGTTGTCTTTTAAGCAGCATTATTTACTTACAAAAATGTTAGGAAAAGAATACATAATAAATTATGTAGGGTTTTAGATACATTTTGTTAAAATCATTAAAAAAGTGTGTAAATTTTTTATTTAATATTCTCTTATTCTTCTGACATCTGTAAATTACAGCTGACATCTTCATACATTCATAGTAATGTGTTCATGTATAAATATATTTATTTAAAAAAATTCTTGTACAAAAATATATTAATAGAAAGTCATAAAATCAATGTTTTACTTTTGTATATATAATATTTCAATCATTTTAAATTTTTTATTTTAGATTCGAGTTTTATCTTCAGATGTATGGGGCTTGCATTATGCATTATGTACATTAGAACAGCTTTTTAACTTGTATGTTGAAGATGGCAGTCTTCCATCACTTTATGTGAGTTTTCTTTTGCTTCTTTTGCTGTTTTATGCAATGCAAATTTTGCAAGTAACTACACTTCTGAAAATAACCTTGCTGATTTTTAGATCCATGACTGGCCTCATCTTCAGCACAGAGGTGTATTATTAGACTTTTCTTGTGGTGCTAGAAAACCATCAGTGGTGAGCATACTTGTATATTATTTAAAATAAATTTCTTTTGTTATCTATCATTTTATTAATAATTTCTTAACATTAGTATGACCTAGTGGTACTTAAATATTTTCCCATAGACCTTTTCAACAAATAAAAGCTGTCACCAAATAGTGCAATTAAGTGGCGATAAACACTTATTGTAAGATCTTTGCTTTGGTTTTATACAAGCCCATTAATTAGTTTGATGTATATTTTTTCTCAGATACTGAGATCCTATCTCATACTATTAATTATGTGTATAAGAAAACTGTATGTACTGTTATTACATGGTGTATTAAACTTGTGGAAGAGCTACATTTTTCTGTGGGAATGAGGAAAACAATTCATTATGAACGCTAAAACTTTTAGAAGTTATGTCCATAAGTGTAATACCAAGCACCTGTTTACTTTAAATCAGTAGGGAAGACTGAAAATGTGCAGTGCATTAAAGCATCTTTTGACACTGAATAAAAAATACTTTCTCAACTGGATTATCATCTGTTTTGAAACATAAGCAGGTTTAAGAATCTTTCAAAAGGAAAAAAGTGTTTTTACATAAAAGATGGCCTTGCATTTATTAGCTTGGTATATGAAAATTATTTTATGAGATTATGAGAAAATTAAATTATACAAATATAGCTTGAGATAAAGTGTGTTTAATATAAATTTTATATAATAATAATATAAAGTGAATTTGAGATATAATAACATATTTTTTAAATGAAGTCATGCATTTAGTTTTCAAAAGAGCATTTTAACCCTCTGAGTGGTACAGGATTTTAGATCTGTCATGAAGACTCGTATTTAAACAGCATTTATTAATTGAGTTATTAATTACTTATTTTAGTCCGTATTTTCATAAACTTACATTCCTTAAGATGATATTTATATTATTAAAGAAAGTAAGAAAGCAAAATATCTTAAATTATAAGCTAATATATGTTAAGTAGCAAAACTTCTTATGAACAGATAAAGCCGGTCATAATGCTCGGGTTAAAATAAGAATATTGTTGTGTTTGGCCCATGCAGTATTAAAAGAAACTAATTGTATAATAACTTCTATTTTAAAATTAAATTAGAATGGTAACATTTTAGTAAATTAGTGGAATGCAAAAAAATTTTTCTTTTAGTATTTCTTGGGACAATATAAACATTTTCCTCTATAGGTATTTTCAGCACAAACTAGAATTTTTGTCATTGCTTGTATTATTATTTCTCATGTTAGTTTTTTATGTAAATGTGAACGTTAATAAAGTGGTTGGTTAATTAATTGATTAAGGTGAAATATGCAAGCAGTGTCTATGCAAGGGAGGGAGGCCTTTATAGAAGGCTTTCTGAAGGAAACTGGCTTAATTTTACAGTAAATGTGGAAAAGACATAAATTCAGGATTTGAACCTAGGTTGAATTATGATTGTTCACAGTTTTAACCACTCGGCCAGTGGTAGGCTATTAGTAAAGTGATTTTAAACAGTTTTTAAACTGATTAAAATGCAAGAAAGATGCTTACTTCTTAACATCACCTATGTACATTTAATATAATTCCAATCAGAGTTTCAGTATGTCATTTTTGTGGTTTTCCCCATCTGTAATGTGTATATGAGCCCGTTTCCATTAGAAAGTCCTCCATAAAGGCATCCCTTCCCTTAGGCAGTAGTCCTGAATGCTTTGCCATAATCACATAAACCAAACCAAATTAGAGTTTCAGCATTGTTATTTGTTTAATTTTTGTGACAAAGGATAATATTAAAATTTTAAAAATTCCATTTAGGATACTTTGAAAGGATATTTGAAAATTATGTCATCTTTCAAGATAAGACAAGTAAGCCTGAAAGAAACATTTGCATAAGTTTTTTTTATGCATACATAATAATTGCTTTTGAGGATAGTCTATTGTGTTATAATGCCTGCATAGTTCTGATTATATGTTTGTATTTCAGCTGCACTGTTATTTCAGGTATGAACTGAATGCTGAGAATAAATTGCCTTTCTCTAATAGGTAAGTTATAAGTTATTAAGCTTTCAACCAGACTCTCTTTAGTAGAGTTTGGTATTAATACGTGAATTTCCAAATGAAAGCTTACTATGCATTTAACAAGCATTTAAAATAAAGGCAATTATATAATGTGAAGGTTGAATGCCCTTTGAATGCAAAAACTAAGCAAATATATTTTCTTATAACATAAACTTTGAGGATAAGTGATAAATTATCTTATTATAATTTTTGAATGTTTAACTGAAATATATATAATAAATATGGCTTTCAGGTAGATATTTAAAAACATTTGTATAATTGAGCTAGTATTAAAAAGATGCTAATATTTTAAACTAATCCCCCTGTATTGCATTTGTTCTCTTGATTTTGGTTTTAAATTTCTCAAATTATTTAAAATGCATACCTGTTATATTTTGAAATTGAACAATAAATGATTCAAAGTTGCAAATACTGTATGCAAATTTGTGTCCGACAGGCTTCTTAGATGTAAAATTGAAATATTTCTCAAGTGAAATTGAAAATACTTGTGAAAATAACCTTCATCTGTGAAAATATCCAAACTGACTTCTTTCAAAATGATGCTTTTAAACTTAATCAAGAGAACAAATGCAATACAGGGGGGATTAGTTTGATAATCTAAGACCGCCATTCAAATAGCACAGATTTTGAAAATTTTTCTCAGAATGGGCACTAATAGCCAGTATGTTGGTTATTGACCAAAATGCCGTCGCTGATGTTAGGTTCTGTACCCATCAGAATTATGCCCATGCAATGGAAAAGAATCTACCATCCACTGCCAGCAGCATTCATTGAATCAGTGATAGTAATGTTACAGTGCTAAATTGACAATGTCATCTTTATAATAATTGTTACATAATAATCCTTATGAAAATTAAATATAAAATCAATTTAACGTTATATTGTCATGGATAGGATCTATGCTGTGGAGAGCGGAACTTATATATTAACCAGTCTCTAAACCTATGTCTACTTCAATATGTCATAACTTCATGTTCTTATCAGTTACATAGTTAATGATGTGTGTCTGTACTATTGTTGCAGTTATCCACAGAGTAGGCCATTCACATCAATTCAGGCAGTTGATAGTTCCGTAGCCCAAAGTTTATGATGATGTGCAGATTATTCTATGCTCATATCAATTGGATTCTAAGTTAACTTTTGTTAAATAAATGAAAGTTACGGGTTTTTAAACTCTAAAACTTTACACCTTAAACCTTAAACTCGCTAGGTGGCGGACACATTAACAAAAAAAAAAAAAAAAAAAAAAAAAAAATCAAATTCATCATAAGAACAATCGTATAGTGGTAGTACAAATTAAATTTTAGGCTTGTGTTGTGAGAAAACCTAAGTAAAAAAAGGAAAATCAATAACACCAAATTCAATAAAAGCTCCTTGTTTCTTAAAAGCCTCCCGGCTCAAACAAATGGAGAGACATGACTGACCACCCAAAAAATATACACACAAGGAAAAAAGAATGCAATTAAATTTTAAACACTTACATTTATTCATTTTCTTGAATAATATTATATTACTAAATATTGGATAACTGATCAGTAATCCTACCAGCTGTTTTACTATAAAAAGTAACACATACTGTCACACACAATTACAGCTTATTAATAAACCTTAAGATGAAAAATAACATATATTGCATTCCAAAATTAACATACTCATATTAATTTGTAAGTTTACTATTTTTGACATTCAATAGCTCACTTAATTAAGCTGGTAAAACCAAGCTAGAAAACTTTCATTTACAGACTTTAAATTAACTGGTCGTTATTCAAAATATTTTAATCACTTGGTAATTTACACATATAAAACAAATGTTTTTCTTCTAAGTAATTTGAAAAGATAGAGAGGTCGACAAATTTTAAAATCTCTCACAGATTTTCTGGAACATATAATCTTGTGGGAAGTGTCCAATTTTTCTCATGGTTGAAGTCTATTTCCTTGAGCCAACACCTTGATTACAGTTTCTAAACTAACTCTCGTGCATTGAAGTCCATTCTACACAAGAATTTCTGGGAAAGGGGGAAGTCCTTTTGTAAAATTAACTGCCCGATCAGGAAAAAGTTCGTTCTTCAGGAACATATTTTTGTGTGGAATGTTTATGTGTCAGGAACCACAGGTACCTTATAGTAATAACTATACGTCGATCTGAACTTCCAAGTGCCAGGTATATTCACTAACAATCAATCTCTAAAGTAGTACTCAGGAACATTCTTTATCAGGAATGCTTCAATAAACCAGGAAAAATGCCTTGAAAGGACCCAAACTGGAAAGGCATTGGGCAGGATAAACAGGAAAACCCCCTGCTATCAGCATCACCTATAGAATATTTGTTTACAATTCTTGGAAAACTATAATAGAGAAACGACGATGCTATAAATTTTTGTGATGAGCTCTAGTGCCCTTTTTCAATGCAAATTATCATCTGCTAAATGCTGTAAATCCATAACCGCAGCCCGCTGGTTTACGGTGCTGACAAGAGCAAAACCCGCAAGGGATCAAGCCCCCCCACTCTTTTTTTCCCTTTTTCGTATAGCTCAAAAATCAGAATCAGAATCAGAATTCAAGACTAAGACTTCATTTCTTACATTGTGCAGGCTCCGAAGGTAAACTCAGTCTCTCCGCCCCTGGAAATTTCATAGGCTTACCAAAAAAATCATAAAATTAAATCTCACTAATCCCAGAATTTTACTTTATATTTAACTGAGAAAATTACACCCCCACAACGAATCAACAAGGCAAACCAGACAATGCAGTCCTGACCATCTGTACTCATAATGTGGGAAGTAAGGTGGACCCCGCCAGCTAACAAGCGGAAACTAGGTGATAAGAGAATCCGATTAGCTAAGCTTAAAACAACCCCCACTGTCTTGAAGGAAAAAATTGCAACTATAACTAAGCGAGAGCAAGTGAGAATGGGAAAGCCGATTTTCGTTTCAGCGCCATTAGTAAAAAGGCCACTAGCGAAGAAAACGACAACACCGTAACTGCTTCCATTCTTAGTAAGCCATAAACCAGGTGTTTCCTCGCAATCGTCTCCTGTCTTTGTTACACTACAATTTCAAGAACTACTAGCTAAATAAGGCTTTAACAATTTAAGAATATGCCATATTAAAATATACATGAGTACAAATAAAAATACTTTAAAAAAATGATATATAAAACAAATATTAATATAATTAAATTTGCAACATAACACTTTTGATAAATTCCAAGTACACTTTTGTTAAGTTCATTGTTAACGTAAACACTTGTCTACTTCGATATATCATAACTTCATGTCCTTAGCAGTTTGCTCACCTCATTATGTGTGTTCATAGCAATTTGCACGCTGTATCCCAGTTAGTTATCCACAAAGCAATCAAGAAATTGCAGTTGGGAGGTTTATAGTAAGTAATATGTATACTATTTTACTATTATCCACAGAAGCAAATTTTGTGTAAATAATAACTTGGCTCTCAGATAAAAACGGAAAAAAAAAAAAAAAAAAAAAAAAAAAAAGAGAGAGAGAGAGAGAGAAAAACTATTTCTTAAATTTTTTCAATGCTATTCTAAATTGTGCAAAATGACAGATTTATTGTACAATTCCATTCTATACAAATTGACTGGCATTTCAACAATATAAAGCATATATTCTAAAAAATGCTATAATTTATTTCGTTTCATGAATGTGATTGTGTTTATAAAAAGGCTACACTGACTGTCGTAGCGATGGGCATGGGATCAAATCCTGGAGAAGGCATGGTTGTAACTCTCCGTTCCTTCATAAGAGGTAGTGGTGGCCACCTATTAGGTGCTTACATAATGAAATGGCCACCACTTCTGGCCCTTATAATGGCACAAGGCTTAATGGCTATTGAGTAAAGTGCCCAGTAAATAAATAAATTAAAAAAAAAAAAAAAAAAAATAAAAGAAATTTTCCTTGTAAACATAACTTGATATCAGTTAATATTCATTTAAGAAAACAAAATAATTTTAACTTTGCATTTAAAATTTAGTTAGTAAATTGAAGTGTCAAAATATTCAGTATATCTTTATTTTCAAGTGTATGGCTTTTTCTGCTATAGAAAAGTCATAAACCAAATAACATATATGTGACATCGTGATTATATGTCTTAGTTGCCATATTTCATTGTAGATATGATAACTGTGGCTTGCATGCAAGATTTATCATGCTTGACTTCTCAGATTGTAGAAGTTTTCTGTGTCCAAGATGATGAAACTTTTGGGCTTCTCTAACTAATGAGCAAAAGTATACTAGAGGTGTTTAATTTCATGGTGATTGTTAGTGATACATGAAAAAAGTAGAAGGTCGTAAGAATGGGATTGTGCACACGAGACTGATGGTTATCATCAAAAGAAGAAAAGCATTTGTATCATATTTGCATACCTGTTCAGTAAGCTACCAATCAATGTATAGTGCAACTTGCATCGCATATACTGCAGTTTGTTAGTTTTCATTATGGGTATTATATGTGTCACTACAGTATCAAATAATGAGCCTAATCCAGACAAGAGAGCATTGTCATTAGATAGAATACTTGCTCTGGCATAGGTGGTTGGTTAAACAGATTGAATTGGTTTAGTTTACTGTGGGAAAGTACACTATGGCTAATTGCTTATAGGGGAGACTGCTTTCATGTAGATATTTTATAGAAAGGTCAGTCAAAAAATTAGCTGCTTAAAAGAAACAATGCACAAAACATGTTGACAGTTCTTTTGTCTGCATGAAAGTATACTATCAAAATTACTTTTCTACATTTATCACCAAGTTTATTCAAACATGAATCATAGCTGAGGATGAATTAACCTATATCTTGTTGAAGAATGCCTATCGAACCTTGAGAACTATACTTATTTTACACTTTTAACTTTTCATCAAAATGATATCATCCTCTTAAAACTTTCTCTGTTTTCATGGATTACTGTGATTTGCCTGTTTTCTTGAATTAGTTCATTAATTAGTTCAACGGTGATCTTTGCTGTCAAATTTGATGGCCTTTCTTGCTGGCTATTGTCCTCAGCTTTCATACATCCATTTACAATAATGGGCATCTTTTTGCAATAAGCTGGTGCAAAATTGCTTTATACACTTAATGCCAATAGTGGTGAATATCAATGGGGTAAATATTCTTGTCCACAAAAAAAAAAAAAAAAAAAAGCTCTTCTGACCCTGTTCATCAAAATATCTCTTTTTGACAAAATTTTCTGCTTAGATGCAATTTGCTTTTTGTCCTACTTGGGAAAAAAAGTGAAAAAAAAAAAGTTTACGTGGGAAGAAAAGTGAGAAAAACTTTTTTGCAGTCAGCCCGTTCAGTTTTCAGGAATAGAACAGGGTGGGAACTTGTGTGATTTTTTACAGTTTTATTTTCTGAGCAGATAAGTTTTCATATTGAGGATACTGCATGGATGGATGTATACTGTTAGTATATGCGAAAACTGGTGTTGACTCTGTCCTGTTGTAGGGGTTTGCTTATTTGATGCACATTCTGATCACTTTAACTATTGAAGTCTATAGGAATAACACATTCAAATTTCAGTTGAAATCATTTTCATATCTTTATGAACATCATATGCTTTTGTGGTGTTGGTTTGCATCAGCTGTATAATTTTCTGTGTCATGTACTAGTGATTCGCAATGAGCTCAGGGAACTCAGCTGACTTTTAGTTATTTCATTGGCACTGTGACCTCACTGGACTTAAATTTTACCAAATTAATTTTTTTCTGTGTATAAGCTCTGAAGCTCATATAGAAATTCTCCATTGGCTACTTTTTTATTGTAGGTATCTAATACTCATATAAATAATTTCGACTTGCAGTGAACTTTTAAATAGGATTTAAAATAAATCTCTGATAAATTTTAAGTCTGCACTTATGGAATTTAATAAGCATTTTTTAAATCTTTCAATCATGATTGTTTCATCTTACATAGCTAATAGGTTTTCAGCTTTGGGCTTATTTACCAAAGGAAAACCACCTTAAGAAAATAACACAAGCAACATTTGGTGTGTTTTAAGTTAAAATTGCTGAAATTACTGCAACTTTTTAAAAAAATGTTTTTTAAATATCTGTTCCGTTTTCCCTTTTTAGCAACAGAAGTGTTATTGGTCTTGAAACTCACTGTCCATATCACTTTTGTGTCCGAATCACTTTTCAAATAATTGCCACCAAATGTTATTGTGATGTATTATTTAAAAAATGATGAGGAATCTGTATGTATGTTCCTTTGATTCTGTCTTAGAAAGTCTTCCACGAAGGCATCCTTCCCTTCTGGCAGATAGCCCTCGTGTGCTTTGCCATAATTGAACAATCCAATCCAATCCTCTGATTCTGCAAAAACTATGGCACTTAAAGGTACTGAATTTTTAAAACATGTAGTTCTTAACCTGAACATGGGCACCTCAAAGCCTCAAGCTTGAATTTGTTATTGACTTATTTCACATTTTGTACAGATGTAATGAATTTTTATTTAACTAACTCTGTGCTTTGATATGAGAAGGAGAAACAGTGTTTGAAATAAAACATTTTTATCTCCAGAGTGAAGGACTGTTGCCATTTAGCAAAATGTAATAAATTTATCTTTTAATTTTAATCTACAAATTCAGCTATTTGAAAGCAATGTGTTGAAACTGCCTCAATCAAGTTTTAGCACTTTTCAATTTTTTCTGTGCTTTTTATTATAAAACACATTAAAAATAATATAAATTTAAGCAAATATTTATGTATTTTTTGAATTTTGGAAAGGGGATTAATGATCATCTAGCAGTGGTGAAATAGGTACATGACGCCAAAAAGGTGAGAATCATTGCATTAAAAAGTATGACATACCACAGTAGTAGTAAGTTTCATTTCATATTCTGGTAAGAATGTTTGCTGTTCTGATTCTCTCTTTGATGTGATTCTTTCGTTGTAAATATCATGTTTGATAAAGCTTTAAAGGAAGTGTGAAAGATATTTTGTTAGCCTTGGAATGTGTTTATTTTTGCCTTTATACCATCCTGGAAATCAATGATTCAACTCATCTTGCATATGATTCAAAAAGTAAAGTGGTACACCCCATTTTGTTGAAAAAATATGTGTAACTTATAATTTTTCACTTTCATTTGCTCAATTTAAAGGAACAAAAAGGTCTTTAGCATGACCACGTACACATAAGATACTAGCACTTGTGGTTGCACATGATTCTGGTTTCATGTGCAGATTGTTGCCTTAGGAAAAATGGCTGTTCATGATGTTCAACTCTATTATTTAATCATATTTTCTGAAATGATGGTCATTTTCAGAGGGAAGGATTCAAAATTATTTCATTAATAATATAACAGTTATTTATCCTTAGGAAATGCTTTTGCCAAGTTTAGAGTAGATCAGAGGGATCAACCTCATAAATATCAAATAGCCAATTTTGTGATGCTTTTAAGAGATTTGAAAGGAGTTCAAATACATAGACACAATGGAAAGAAATTATAGAAATGACAACCAAGGAAATGTAGTTTTAAAATGCTTGTTTTTATAATCTGTAAAATAACTTTTAAAATAGCTTTTTATTACACTTTATTTGATTATATTTATTATTTTATTTTGCGACCCATTTGAATTATATTTAATGCATTGATTTCTTTTTAAATCTATTTAATTTCAAAATAATGACAATTCACTTGGAAAATATGTGATAATTTTTTTATGAATTTATGTGTTTAATATTTCATTAATATTGTTTTTGCTTATAGCTCTGTCTTTCTTATATGTAATTTCAATCATTTATTGCTGCTTGATTTCCATTGATACACTCTTGTTTCCTTTAAAAAAATTTTCTTTCTTTTCTAATGAACATTTTAATATGTATACATTATTATTTTTATGTAATAATTAATGTTTTATGGTTATCCTGAATACAAAATAAAAGCAAGAATTGTGGTAGACAAATAATTTTCAAAATGTAAAGTAAATACATTTTGATCTAATTTAAAATGATTATGTTAATATGTAACCAAAGAAATTTTTTTTTGATTTAATAGATATATTTTATTTTATTTTCTTTTATTTTTTAGGGATTTAATAGATATAGCTAGCTTTTGTCAACAACATTACATTAATGTAATACCTGCTGTTGATGTTGGTATATCTGCTGATGTTAGTTTATCTACTGATGTTAGTTACTTGAATATTAAAGAAATTATAAAGGGAGCTGTTGATCATCTCATGCCTTTGTTTTCCTCAAAGTAAGTAAATAATATAACAGTTTGTATTAAATATTAGATAAGTTTGCAAATTTATTTGACATTTTCTGATACACGAAATATTTTTTTAAAGGCAGCTTGAGTAATGCTTCAGCTATTTGCTGATGTTTTGCCATTTTGTAGCTTGGCAGAATCACTTAAATATTTTTAGATTATTGACCAGGTTGTTGAAATTGAATTGCAATGCCTATAGTTAGTATAATCATCATTTTAAGAATCAAAAGGCACCCAGAGTAAAATAAAATTTAAAATAGGAGAATTGATTATTTTAAATTGACACACTAAAATCTTATTTGAATATTAGTAAATTAGGAGCTTTCACAGACGACACATCTGCTTACCTACAACCACATACCTACTAATATATATATATATATATATATATATATTCATTAAAAGAATTCTTCTACTATCCCATTATCCATGCATCATTCCAATTTTCAAAAGGTTTGGAAACTAATTTGCCATAACATTAAGTCCATACATTTGGAAATTGTTAAGAATATACAAACTGGATATCAAATTGGATAACTAACATCAGATTTGTGCATTGTTTTATCTGGTGTGATGATACAAACACAAAAACTCAATATAATGGTTTAACATCTAAAACATTATTATTAAGAATTGCTGAGCATAAAAAAAGTATTTATGAATTCTGCCAACCGATACCATATTGAAAATAGCACACTTTTATTTAACTATTCTTTGGAATATCCCATTTCAGTAAGTGAATGGGACATAACAAAAATTATCAAAAAACTCTGTCATAAAAACAGTTTAAAAGTCAGAGAAGCATTAGAATTCACCGCTAGATTATATTGCAGTAAAGATTTTCTTTTCAATCTGCTTTACATTTGGATATCAATCCTAAGAAATGCGACAATTTTACACAAAGTATTTCCTCCATCCATATTGCATGTCTTTTGGGTAGAAGCACATCTAGCTAGCAATCGGGAGATCTAGAGTTTGAATATTGTTAAAGTTATTGAACATTTTCACATCTTTTGCTTGGGAAAAAAAGAAGTTTTTTTACAATGGTGGCCAAACTAAAGACGTGATGGATAAAATTTTGTCACCACCAGAATTTGGTGATTGGATCCCCTCCTCTCCAGTTGCCCTTTAAGAGGGGAGGGGGGCAAATGTAAGCTATTTTCTCTCTCTTTACTGCATGTTTTCATAGTGCAATTGGAAGCAAGTTTTCCTGGCAATCGGGTGGTCTGGCATTTGAATCTTGATGAGAGTGTTGTACATTTTTCAAGTCTCTTGCTCCAAAATAAATACCTGATAATTGGACTACTTGCCCTTCTTGGTGTAAAATCAAAACTCAGTTATAAAATATAATCATACTTGGTTATATGCTGTTGTTCTGTTTTTCTCTTAGTTACCAGGGCTGTGGAGTCGGAGTCGTGGAGTCAGAATCGGAGTCGGGTAGATTTTTGGGTAAAAGGAGTTGGAGTTGGAGTCACTAAAAAACACGTCGACTCCGACTCCAGTTTTTGTTGGACAGTTTGAATTTGAAATGAAATTAAAGTGAATTGAAAAAAACAAATTTAATGGCAAACTGAGTTATTATTTTTATTTATGGACTATATACATAATAAATAGTTATTTTCATTTTTTGACAATATTGTAAATAATATAAGAAGGCAGGATGGATGTATTTGCCATTATTGATTAAACTGATTCATTTAGTTACTAATCTCATTGGTGAATTGAGGTAAGCAGCAAGAACTCCCAAAAATTAATGCCATTCTTTGGAAGCGAGCAGGAAAAGGCACAACACAATGGAGAAGAACATATTTGATAATATAGCAGTTGTTAGGATTAAGAACTTTTTCAGAAAATGTAAATAGCCCTCACATTTCACTAACAGAAAGACTGTGGAATGATCTTGCAGAACTGGAAATCCTTCTTTCAACACCGTATATAGCCACAAAAAAGCTAGAATCTGAAGAATTAACAGGAGACGAGAATGTTAGATGTAGGTAACCTTAATGTTTCACTAACAGAAAGACTATGGAATGATCTTGCAGAATTGGAAACTCTTCTTTCTATACCGTATATAGCCACAAAAAAGTTGCAATCTGAAGAACTGACAGGATGTGAGAATGGAAGAATCTGAAGTTTGTTCTTTTTCTGAATGGAGGGTTTATTGCAAAGGAATCATTTCTTCAATGAAGAAAAGAGAAACTAGTTTGCTACACAATGAGATCTTCCTGGGTTCAATATATTTAGATCTGAAACACTGAATTTTCTTGGATGACAAACAAATTAAAAAGGCAAAGAAAGCCATCTATGAACTTTCATTAAGAATGAAATTATTCTCAGAACAATTGGAGAATTTGAATCAGGACAGTCAAACTGCAGACATTGCAATTAAGTCTCTATCATCTTCTTCCAGTAATGAATTAGAGTTTGAGAAATATTTTTGGATAATATTGAAAAGGCTAAGCCAAAGCGAATGAAAATAAAGAACCAAGAGTCTTTCGATATAAAAATGAAAAAATAAAAACAAGGATTTCTACACGGCTGGCTTTTGAAGAAATAGAATAAATATGATTGCACTTTCAAGACATCTCTTTTAGAACTTACAAAAATCTATCCTTAAAAGTTAAGGAAGTATATAATGGCTCTTCTTCCTATCAGTGTGGAAAGACTCTCTTTCTCTCAACTGAAGTTTAATCAAATGGATCTGTGGTCCTCCAACAAAGAAGATCCTGTCGAAGCTATACTATTTCTTAGAAAGTAACTAATGCCAGCTTTTCCACTTCATAATAAAAGCTAATTAATATAAATAATTTGCTAAGCCATCAATTTTTTTATCTGTAGCATCTATTTCTTTTATATTAAAAAAATAAGCTGCACCCATGTTTATATGTTTACATATATATGAAGGAATCAGAGTCGGAGTCATTAAAATTTCAGGAGTCGGAGTCAGTCATTTTCCCTACCGACTCCACAGCCCTGTTAGTTACAAAATTACTCACTGTTTCCTTAAGTTTAACCATATATTAATTTTTCTTCTGTTAACAAAAGGATCTAAAGGAACTTGTATGGAATCTGAATTCTTATGGAAATTTATAGTGTTTGTTGATAGTGTGGTTTGATATACACTAAGTAAGCCACCAGAGATTCAAATTTTCTACTAAATAGAAAATTCCTACTTCTGGAAAGGAAAAATTAATAAATATTCCACAGCTAATCTTTTTTGGTTTTTAGATGGTGTTGATGCCGATATATACAACAAAAATCACCTGATTGTCTCAAATGAACATGTTCTTAAAAGGTGACATTCGGCTTCCATTGTTTGTGAAGATAGTTTTCTAATTCGTTGCTCGAAACTAAAAAGTTATGTTGATTTGAAAATGAATGAAATATCTAAAGAAATTTGCTATGTGATGCTATTTTACTATAAAAATGGTTAAGTAAGCCACCAGAGATTCACATTTTCTACTAAATAGAAAATTCCTACTTCTGGAAAGGAAAAATTAATAAATATTCCACAACTAATTTTTTTTTTTTGGTTTTTAGATGGTGTTGATGCTGATATATACAGCAACAATCACCTGATTGTCTCAAATGAACATGTTCTTAAAAGGTGACATTCAGCTTCCATTGTTTGTGAAGATAGTTTTCTAATTCGTTGCTCGAAACTAAAAAGTTATGTTGATTTGAAAATGAATGAAATATCTGAAGAAATATGCTATGTGATGCTATTTTACTATAAAAATGGTAAAAATGCTGCAAAAACATGCAGAATAATTTGTGAAATTGTACACTGAGAATGTTGTATGTGAACAAAGGACCCAGGAGTGGTTTGGTTCAGAATCGATTCCATTCCAAAAGTTTTGATGTCAAAAATGCTCTGGTCGATCAGTCACTGGAAAAGTCGAAGAAATTTTGCCATTGGTGGAGCAAGATCGGCACACAAGCTGTCAGGAAATAGTGAAGGCACTCAACATCAACCACATGACAGTTTGAAATCATTTGAAAAGAGCAGGCTACAAAAAGAAGCTCGATGTTTGAGTGCCACATGAAGCGAATCATTACAGGCAATGAAAAATGGGTGAAATATGAGAATATCAAATTCAAGCGATCATGGTCAAAGGCTGGTGACCCTCTACAAACTACTTCAAAGCCTGGATTGTTGCTAAACAAGGATATGGTGAGTATTTGGTGGGACTGGAAAGGAATTGTCCACTATAAGCTGCTGCAGCCTGTCAAAACCATCGATTCAGCCCTGTGCTGTGCACAACTCAACCATTTGTATGAAGCAATCCAGAAAGAGTGACCAGAATTGGCCAACAGAAAAGGAGTTATGTTCCATCAATAACTCCCTTATGACAATACGTGGCCACACACATTTTTAATGACTTGGAACAAGTTGACAGAACTTGGTTGGGAAGCTTTGATGCATCCACTGTATAGCCTGGACCTTGCACCATCTGACAGCCATTTCTTTCAGTCTCTGCAAAACTCTCTTGATGGTAAAAAAATTGGCCGACTGAAGCACTGTTGAAAATCACTTGGCCAAGTTTTTCGACGATAAATCACAGAAGTTCTATACCAATGGGATTATGTAACTGCCTGGAAAATGGGAGTAGGTCATAAATAATAATAGTCAATATGTACTTGATTAAAATTGATTTTCAATAAAGAAAATTTTTGTTCAAGAATGTAGCAAAAAACCGTGGAGACTTTTTATATGGCCCAATAGATCACTAAACCTGTAGTTTGAGAATAGATCATTGAACTACCAAAATGAGTTTGTGGGGAATGAAGAAGTAGAAATTCTATCATATTTAACACATGTTCAATCATTGCTGTTTGGTTTCATGATACTTGTTAAAAATTTTAATGTAAAATAAATTATAAGCTGTGTGTATTCAATTCATTCTTCTCTGATATTACTGATTTTATATTAAAATATAATAGATAATAATGAATTTTTATTACTGTGCTTTAAAACAGAATGTATGCTTTTTATCTCTGCAGCGAAATTCAAGTAGGCCCCAACTTATCAAAAATTGTGATAAATGAGCTCTTTCACACCAAGAATCCAAAAATAATATGGGATTTGTTGTTATTGCCTTCCTCTGCCATAATATATTTGTGTTGCAGCAGCATTCAACAGAATTCTGAGCAACTTCGAAATTTGTTACCCTTGAATTGTGTTTTGATTGAATATGGTTATCAGGTATGAAAATAATATTTCATTTGATGTTTCTTGGTTATTTCAACATTATTTATGCATTTTTTTTGTACGTATTGTTTCTTTAAACATTTCTGCGTGGAAGGTAATATTTTTCTAAAACATATGAGGAAGTATAGAAAAGTAACTGAAATTACTTTTAAATAATTAATTTATTTTGCATTAATATATTTTAATACCTTTCAGAGTGTTCTCTGCCAACAGTAATACACTTATATCAATGTTTTGCCCACTACTGGAAATAGAGGAATAGTTCTGGAACTGTTGATGCAGAATATTATTCGAGGCATGCAACATCTTTTTTTGTGCCTCATTCACATTAGTACATTGATTTTCTGAGGACTTTATTGATAAAAACAGAAAAAAAAAGTCAATACTGATCAAGATCCAATGAAATAGAATAACATGAAATAGAACCACTATGTTGTTATTCTTAAAAAATTGTTGGACGCACAGAGTTTCTTCAGAAATCTGGTCATTGGTCTTTTGAAAACCTTCATTTTTTTCAGGAGCATTTTTTCAGTATTTTCTTCATTTTTGCTCATCACTGGATGGCTATGTCTTAGCAATCATGCATTTTTACATTTGACCATTTTTTAATTGAAAACTCATAGATGACAAAGCATCATCTTCAAAGGCTTCCTAAGCTGTAACAGTAGTCTCATCTGCAGTTTTGCTCAACAAGAAACAAAATTTCACAGATTCAGTCTCATGAATTTGTTCTTTATGGTCATATGTTGTAAAAATTGTAGGCTGCTGTAAGCAAAATCACACAAAAATCAGCATCAGTGCATACAAACCTCTGCATTCAGACTGATACCACTTAACAGATAGGGATAGAAAATCCTTAAGTTAGCAGTATAAACTGTAATTATGAAATGTTTTTGTGTATTGTCATTCTGATTATTTTTGGATATATAAATACATATACTAAATATAAATATTTTAGCTTGATTTTTCCTCTTAATGTTCTAATCGTAATGTAGAAGGTTATCATAGGTAATAGAATAATAATTTTTCCAAATTTTTTTGTCTATAATAGAAGAATAGTTTTTTAAATTTTTGTGTATTTTAACTTTGTTTAAACCCATTTAAATTTTTTCAATTCTTGCAAAAAGTAATTTTTAGTATATTAGTTCTGAAGTTAGTTTATTAGTCAATATGTATTGCGTCGTAGCACAAAATGTTATATATATATGCCTTTTAAAATTATACAAAGTGAACAAAATTGGTAATAAATGAAAGATAAGAAGTTATAAAATAAAAACTTTGATAAAAGAAATTTTATTATCCAGTTGTTCCCATGGCTGGAATGCAATTATCTGCATATATGCAAAAGTAAAAGTTGTTAAAGTGTTAGTGATTTCAGAAATTATATAAAAAATTAAGTTATAATTGAGCATTAATTACTAGTAAAGTTCTTTTGATTGGTATTTTTCCTACTATCCAATATTTTGTAGATTGTATGTGACAGTGTAGGTTGTTTTATATAATCATGTTTTGTAAGTATTCCATTAATAGCACTTTTTAAAAAACTTTAGTTATAAAATGAAACTACAGCTCTTGTTTGATTAGAATTCATTTAAATGGCATTACTGATTGATTTATTAAGAGAAATTGCTGCCGAGTTCACTATTATTAAAGAATGATGGCTTAACAAAATTCATTCACTGGCTTAATAAAACCTACTTTCAAGATGTTGTTGACTATGCTAATTAAAAAAGAAATAATTCGTCTGATTATAAATGATCTTCAGTTAAGACTTATAGTGTAAATAGTGCAAATATCTGTCTTAATTTCATGTGAGCACTTTTTTAGTTACAACATTTTTTTTTTGTAAACATCTTTCTGTGAAGTCCTTGTCAAATTTCATGAAATAAATTTATAGATTATTGAACTAAATATTTGTATCGAAGCCCTACCAGTGATTAAGTGTTAAAACTGCTGAATACTGGTTAGTTGATCAAGCCTAGTGCTGCCTGAATGAATGTTTTTCCCATGTATAATATAAATATGAGCTAGTTTCTTTCAGAAAAAAATCAATAAAGGCATCCCTTCCCTTAGGCAAATAAGACTTTGTGTTTGCTTTGCAATATCCAAATAACCTAATCTAATCTGTCAGTAAAGGAAAATGTATCTTCATTTTATGTTCCCCTGAGTTTTGCTACTATACAGATGTAAAATAATTTTTAAGTTTTCATTTGTTATATCTTATATCCTGTCACTTGTGCACATTTTACATGTTTTAACTATTTTTTATTGATTATGTGTGGTTGAACATTTATTTCTGTAAGAATATGCAGATATGTAAGCTTTTTATGAGATATATTAATAAACAATTTGTCTGTAATACATTTCATTCCTGCAGTGTTTGTTAAATTTGTTTATATAAATATTTAGTTTGTTGCCTGTAGTTTATGTTTAATATCAAAAGCTGATTTTGGGTGCTCATTTATTGTGTAATTTAAACTTAAAATATTTTTAATTCCAAAAATCCCTATAACTTCTATAACTATACTTCCTTATTATTGCAGCCCTCAAAACTGATCATTACTGAATCATTAATCAACCAAGATGTAACATGTAGCGATAAGAGGCAAGATATCTCAGTTGAATAGTGATTCAGTCTTATAGTAAGAAGTACCATAATTTCTTTTAAATATGTCCCAAAATATTTTTTAGAAAGGGAGTTCCAAACATTTAAATTTATTTTAATGCCGCAAAAACATCACTTTAGAATTGAATTAAAATTTTTGCAAATAACTTAAAGTTGAAATTTATTTTCAAAATGTAGATAATATTGAGCAAATTTCATTTACAATTATTTTTAAAAGAGTTTAACAGACAAAAAGGAGATATTGTGTTTTCTTCTTTATGCCTGTATTACAAGTATTGTATAGTTGAAGGTTTACTGTACAGATGTATACAGGCCAAATAAACAGTAGGCGCTGAGGAACATTTCATGCAGTCTTTGCAATGTGTGCGATGAGCCTACTACATTTATGTGTTACATTTCTTAAATATTCTTGTATTTAATATTTTAGTAATTTAAAATTGCTTTTAATAGATGGAACATGATTTTGATTATCATGCCAAAGTTTTTTCTCTTTCAGGGTGAGTATATTTATTCCTTTTCAGACAGCATATAAAATAATGTAATGATAATTTAAATTATTATATAATTTATAATGTGACATTTTAAAGAATACCATTTGCAGTAAAAATCCATTATTAGCATTTCGTTTGCAGTATTTGGAAAAGCCTGGTTATTGTTCCATACCTGTTTTAGTAGGTTTGTTTAGAAGTTCATGTTTATATGTCATTTGCATTTATTTATATATCTTTATCTTTACTTATAATTTTTTAAAAAATATTTTCAAAACTCAATGAAATTTTTGAGAAATGAAACGAGCAAATATTTGCAGATTCACCAAAGAGTATAATCACTTGTACCAGCTGTTAAAATATTATGAAAATTTGACCTTTATAGCAAATCTAAGTTTTGAAATATTTGTAGAACACGTCAGTTGGCTTTTAAACTTGTATAGGGAAGATCATTCGATCTGTGGATGAAGTATTTATTCAAAACTTAAAATTTCTTTGAAATTTCGATAAACTGTGATAGTAACATTCCATTGTAAAGCTACAGACTTTATGCACTAGCAATAAAGATGATTTCAAAGCAAAAATAGATTAAATATAATTAAACTGTGAAGGTCCTCCTATTATTATGGTACCTATTGTAATGGAACCAAGATTGTAAAAAACCATGCGAATCAGGGCTCCTAACATATTGGCATTTTCCATCCTGAACAATAAATAATTGTTTGTTGTTTCCAAAAAAGTAATATAAAAATCATGTTAATAGCACGAATATTCCACAATATATTCGCCCTCTTTAAAAAAAAAAAAAAAAAAAAAAAAAAAAAAAAAAAAACCATTAAAAATTTTGATTTTGCCACAAAGTAAGGAGGATATTATACATTTTTTCAAAAAAAGGTGTATTTTACTTTGCATTCAATTATGGAAAAACGATCATTAAACTAAACAAAGCAATATTATTGAAAGCTGTTTATAATAGCACAGCAATTTTATTTAATGTTCAGTAGAATTGATGTCAATTAAATGATAACAAATAACTTGGCCTTTACGAATATACAACTGTTGACTAGAACAGTTTTATAAGAGAGGTGTAATCTAATTTGATTACCAAATAATCAAATATGTGGCTCTAAAAGCATTGTGGATGCAAACAAAAGTCTGTGTGCACAGGGATTAAACAAAGCCAATTGTGTTTTTCTGCAGTATGCTATAATTGGTAAGCTATGCCAAGAAACTCTTGAATTGTTTTTCATTCAGGCAACTGCACTCAGCAGAAATTGATGACCATGTAGAAGAGGGCAATTTGCTGAGACTGTTGCTGAGCATACACAATCGAAAAAACTGGAAAAAATAGGTTAGAGACATTTTACTATGAACCATAAATTTCATTTTGTTGATCCACCAACAGATGCTCATAAACAAAATGGAAAAAATGGACAGGGATAAAGAAAAACGTGTTTGATGCCAGTTAAAAACAGTTGAAAAAACTTGGCAGCACTGCACTGTGTATGGGAGAAGTAAATACGGATTTGGCGATAATCTTAGTGCCAACTTGGTGCTTAAAAAAAAATGGGGTCCATAATGAATACCTAAATTTATTTGCAAATAAATTTGACTCGTTAAATGTACTTTTTTATGTACAGTATGCAGTCCTTTCCATTCCTTATTGCATTCAGTTATGCAAAAAAATGTTTTGTGGCTTTGTGCAATTTTATTCCAATATTTAATAATCTAGTATTAGTAAATGCGAAAACATGCCACATAGTGGCATGTAACAAACAATCCTTTAAAAAATGCTGTTTATGCTGTCCATGTGATTTAGCTGTTTTGTTAAATAATAATGTCTGATGTGTTAAGTAATGGTTCCTGTCACATTCAGCATTTAATGTTCCCCCCCCCATTTTGTTTGAAGTGGAATTACCCCTGGAAAAGGTAGTTGTTTTAAAAGTTTTACAAAATAAAATTCTTTGAGGGGCTTCGTAATTTTATGAATTTGGTATTAAATGTGTTAGATACATTGAAAGTTCACTAGGCATACATATTTTTCATTAGATTAAAGCTAAATTATTTGTTATATATTCAGTCAACTTATATCTTAATATGATTCACATAATGCTATGCATGCATAATCAGCAGAAAATACCATATGCTCTTAGCAATAAATCTGTCTTCACTGTGTTGTTTTGTACTGGATTAAGCACATAAAATGTATACAAGATGTGACAAAAAAAAAAAAAAAAAAAAGGACTGGTCCAATAAATCATTGTACTTACAGAATCAGTTCTCCGTGACATTATCACCTTAAAAGTAGTGCATCTCTTCAGCATTCACACACTTCTGCATTCAGTGCTGCCCTTGCTGGTAACAGTTTTAGAAGAAGGTTTTTGGAAGGTTGTTCCGGAGATTCTCCGTTTTTGCTTGAACCTCTTCATCTGAGGTAAAATTGGTTCCCTTTAAGTAATATTTAACTTTAAGAAATAAAACAAAACATTTTGTGGAGCCAAATCAGGTGAATAAGGAGGATGCCCCATCACAGTTATGTTTTTGCTGATTAGAAACTGCGTGACAGATAGGGCCGTGTGAGCAGGTGAATTGTCCTGGTGCAACAACCATCCATCAGTCCACAACTCTGGCCATTTTTCTACTAATTTTTTCACAGTCTTTTTAGTACTTCAATGTAGTAGTATTGGTTATCAGTCTGACCACTGGGAACCCATTCAATCATGATGAATGTGCTGCCCAGCACGTCCATCAACTTCTATATTGTCCCTTCCCCTTGAAAACTGCTTATGCCATTCAAGCACACATGTATGATACAAAGTTTCATCTCCATAAGCCTCGGTAAACATTTGAAATGATTCCTCGGTGGCTGATTTCTTAAGCTTCACAAGAAACTTCATGTTGTTTCGCTGTTTGGCTTTTTACATTAGACATTTTTCTGGCAGAATGCAGTTGCACATGCTCACTCAATGACACAGTATTCCCTACTGGTGTGGTCGGTTAAGTCAGAACTGGCCACATGGATAGAGGAGGTGTGTGGCATGACGTCACCAAAGCAGTTGTTGCCAACTCCACTCTGTTTTCAAGCTACACACTTAGTCTCTCTCTCTCTCTTTTTTTTTTTTTTTTTTCTTTTATGCGTGTGTGTCACACTTGAAAATTCATTGGAATGGAAATGGTGGATGGAAGATGATAAATAATGGAAAACTCATTCAGGCTTCAGAAAGTGTATACTCAATACTCAGTGGCATAACAGCCCTAGTGAGCCAATGCCTGCAGTGCCCTGAAATCTGCTTTCTTGACCGTTCGACCCGGGATACATAAGTATATGCCCTGAACAAGTGGCTAGCTTGTCGCAGGACCCCTATTGTTTAGTCTCCAAGCAAACTTTTCACTCATTTTATTGACGCAAAGGATGGAAATCAAGGGATGAAAGGCTGAGTTGACCTTTCATTCCCTTTCAATTTTAAAATTCAGTGTTATTCCCAGATAGAAAATATTTATGCAAACTCAGTGTTCTCTCATTTTGCCATCTTGCAGTTTCATCTCTTTTATACTCAGGAGTGGCATGACTGCTTTTATCTGTTTGTGAGAATTTTTGTCACTTGGTATATATTAGCTTATAATTTAAAATATTTTGCTTTCTTACTTTCTTTAATGATGGAAGATATATAATGTAATATCTTAATGAATGGAAGATTATGAAAACGGAGACCAAAATAAGTAATTATATAAATTTAGATAGTAAATGCTGTTTAAATATAGGTCTTTAAGAACAGTTTCAAGAAGTTGGCTCACTTAGAGGGTTAATAAATTTGGAAATTGCTGCACCACTGCTGATTCCATTATTCTTGAAAATGTCAAGGGGCCTTGGTGATTGACATGAAGTCTTGATATTTGCTTGATTATTGATATGAGCACTATTTAATCACTGAGTTGGTCTTAGGAATGCTATATTTTGCATGTATGGTAATTTACGAGGGCCATCCAGGAAGTAGATTACGTTTCCGTCTGTGTCCGCTAGGGGCGGGGCTAGAGCGGCCATCTTGGGGTCAGAGCGTTGCGCAGCTCAGTCTGCATCTAGCCGTGCTAGTGAGAGGTTCGTGCTGTGCTCCGTTCAGATACTGTGACGGTTTGAAATGTCTGCGTTAATTGAAAATCCTGCGAGGTGCGCTCAGTAATAAGGTTTCTGACTGCAAAAAACTGTAAACCGATAGAAATCTATCGGCAGCTTCGTGAAGTGTATGGGGACAACATTATCACTGAAGGTTGAGTGCGTCAGTGGGTCATAAGATTTCAAAATGGCCGAACCAATGTTCACGACGAAGATCAAAGTGGGAGACCCAGCATAGTGACGCCGAACTTCTCGAAAAAGTCGATGCTAAAGTCCCGTGAAAATCGAAATTTCACAATAACGGAACTTTCTTTGAGTTTTTTTCCACAAATTTCGCGAAGTTTGTTGCACGAACTCATCAGCGAAAAGCTTGGTTACCACAAGTTTTGTGCAAGATGGAAGGCAAGAAGAGGTAACGAAGTGGTTTGAAGGCGCAGGCGGCCGAATTTTTCGACGAAGGAATTTCCAAGCTCGTACATCGCTACGATAAATGCCTTAATTTGTATGGTGACTATGTAGAAAAGTAGTATTTGAGTGTGGCTTTCATCTGTATATAATAAAATTTGTTTCCTATACTTTGTTTATTTTTTTATTCCAAAACGTAATCTACTTTCTGGATAGCCCTCGTATATGGGATCTAAAGTATTTTTCTGTCTGATATTACATCATTGTAGTAGAATGATTGTTTTTGTTAGCTTTCATTAAAAATTTCCCCCCTTATGAATTTAATGACATATTTTTTTTCCTCTCATAGCTATAATGTTTGTATTGGGACTGGAACTACATCCTGGGGAAGGTAACTTTTATCATAATGAATTATATTTCATTCTTTGTGCATTTTTTACTTACTGTATAATAAACTATTTACTTGCTGCTATATACTACTATTTACTTGCTGCGTACTTAAATTTCATCATCTATATCTATCTGTGTACATCCGTCTGTCTGTCCATATATATATATATACATTCACTTTTGTAATTACATTTTTATTTTTATATTATTTTTGATTTGTTTTTACCAAGTTTGCATTATTTATCTTATATTTTGTAGTCTTCTAATGTTTATTTCAACTTTATACTTTGAATTCTATTTCATAATGACAATTTCCAATGTTTAACTTTTACAAATAATATTGAACTCAAATGCATAAACATGAGGGTGTTGGGGGACGGTTACTCGAGGTTTTCGAAATTCACTGCAGAAATTGCTTTTCACTCAAAATTGAATTGGCTAAAATACTTCATAGGAATAAGTTCTTTGAATATCAGCATTGGTTCGTAATCCCTTCTATTCATGGAAATATTTAGCCTGACTAGAATTGCCGGTTTGGCTTAGCCTTAATGCTCGAGTAAAGATGAAACACCTTCTATTTATTTATCAATTATTGTTCATTGAAAGTTGGTTTGTTCTTCTTGAAAAGTCAACTAATTTCCGATCATTGACAATGATTACATGCATTTAATTTAATTCTTGCCTTTAATTTATTCCTTTTACAATTGAAATTTTGTTCTTCATGATGATTTAATTCCAGTCCCCATTAAAACATTATTAACATTTTACTTTCAAGTTACTTCAAAACATCTTTCAAAATATAACTTACTAGTATAGATTCATTCTTTTAAGATAATTCTACTTTAATTAAACTTAGGAGATAATATAATCAATTAATCAATATTATTTAGTAAATAAATTATTATTAACTTACTTTGCAGCAATTGCGCAAGTAGTAGTAACTTGTTTTCGCACTAAATGAATTTAAGATCATAAACATTATATATATACAGTCAAAAGTCGTTAATCCAGACTCGTCGGGACTTCTGCGATTCCGGATTATCAATTTTTCCGGATTATAGATCATCAGTTTAAATATGGTAAGATGGCATGCAGAAGTTATAAAATTAAAAATAGAAAACCGTAATTTATGAAATAAAGAACAATTATGATCTAAAGGGTATCAAAATTTACAAAAAAAATGCTTAATATTTATTGGTTTACTTTATTAAGCATTTCTTTCAATGTAAGTTGTTTAAGTTGCTTCGTTTTTTATGTGATAATACATTCTCTTTAATTCTATAAACAGACCTAATTTCTTGTTCAGTTACAATGTTCCGCTGTTCAAGTCCTATAATTGCTGTGTCTACCGACTAATTTGTCAATCAAAATTTTTTCGTTTTCAATAACCTCTGTCACTTTCTTCGCTATCAGAAGCAAATTATAATGACGAGGAATTTGATTTAAATCATATCAAAGAGGGAGTACATCGAGATGAAATACTGCATTTAGTAAGGAATTATAAGCCAAATAAAATAAAAACATCTGCTCTGAAGATAAGGATAGTGCTGACAGATCAACTTCCAATTCATTGCGCGCACAGCAGCGTTAAAGATAAACAAAGTTTAGATAAGCAAACGTTAAAATTTAGATAAACAAAGGATATGCCTTTACCCATTTTTTTGCAGCAATTCCACTTTTTGGTTAATGGACTTCGAAACATACTTTGGCTTTGTAGATCCTTTACATATTAGTAAATATATATCAGAAATTCTATTTGGCATAATCGAAAGTTCAAGCTTACTTTTATAAAATTGCTCTAACAGTCTGCAAAAAATAATAAGCCGGATCCAATTCGAAGATTAAGGAACGTTGCAATCTGCAACATTAACTGAATTAGATAATTTTAGCTTAGCTTATACCGTCCATTATACCTTAAACGCGCATTTGCAAATGTATTTTGCGCGCGCGCACACGCATATTCGCAGCCATAAAAGTCGACATAAAAGTTGCCGTAAAAGTCGCAACGTGACGCATGCGCAGAAAGTTTGTAGCTTTGAGGTCCGGATTATAGATCATTCCGGATTATGGGTGTCCGAATTAACGAATTTTGACTGTATATATGTAAGATAAAAATGTATGAATCAGAATTATAATATAACTATAAACATTAATTCTTCCTCTCTATTCTAAAATCGTAATAACTTATCTGCATTGCGTCATTCAAATTAATCATGCGATCTTACGTAACCGTTTATACCAGATGCCTCTTGACAACCAATCACCGAATTGTAAAAAAAAACTTTTCTCTTCGCGTGCTTCCATCTTTCATAACGACGCACTTCAGCTTTTGCTCTCTACTGTCCTAAGATGTAATTTTGCTGGCTTGCTTTCTATCCCAACAATATCAAAAATGTAAATCTTCTGTGGAAAGGCACGACTAGAGTGCGAAGTGATTATGGCCACAAATATCAATTGGAAATAAAAATGGAATTAAAATCGCTTCTACTGCCAAGTTTTATTTACGAAGTCAACACATTAGCTTACGACGCAATCAGATTATTTCCTCTTCAATATAGGATAACTACGCATCTACAGTGCTCCGTCTTTTCCTTGTGATTTTATTATGACATATATATATATACATATGTATGTATAAATACAAAGCAGCCGATTTCACCCATCCTATCTTACTATTAGTAAACATATTTATTTTAATTTATTTTGCATTATATATATATTTCTGTCAGAGTTGCTAAATATTTTTATAGTATTGCAGGTTGCCCCGAAACTGCTATTTCATGTATACACAAAGCATCTCAAGCAGCATTATTGTATGGATCTTTTGGTTTGCTTGTGGCTGATTGGAAAACTCTGCCACATCATCCAGCATTTTGTTTTAGTTGGCCTGGTATCGTTCTCAACCTAGGCATGGCTTGGAACTGTTCTGTGCATGAAGTAAGCAAATAGTGCAAAGTATAATTTTATTGTGAAGATTGTTCTTAAGCTGTCTTAGTTATGATGTTAATATGTTTAAGAATGTAAAATTGTTAGAATTAAGAAGCTATATTGTTGTTAAGAATTTAAAATTGGAAAGCCAGTCAAAACGTTGCACTTATGTGAAATAAACATGTATTAAGCATATACAGTAGTTTGTTTTTATTAACATGAAAATTTACTGCCAGAACTATGTTTTTTCTTAATCGCCCTCTTCAAACATTTATCATGGTATGGAATAAGTATCTCCATGTCATTTTGAAAGAAATCTCATTCTGCATTTGGTAATCATTCATTGACATCTGTTTCTTTCAAATTCTTTTATGAGCTTGAATACATGGAAATTATGGTGTATGAAATCTGGATTATCTCTTTGAAGGGCAGGAAAAAGCAATTAACTTTTTCAGCAAAACTCGTGCTTTATTTACTATGTCAGTTGTTACAATGAAATTATTTGTGACAATTAATTACACATATTTTGTTCAAGATGTGTGAACAAAATGACCACTTTTGGTGGTTTGTCTCTGTGCCCACCGCCCACAGAACACATCTCTACAAATCAGTCTCTATCATACTCATGGAAACAGTTTTCTTTTTCAAACAGAGTGCAGCTTTGCATGTGCTGCATTCCCACACTGTTCTTACAGGCTTTTTGTTGGTGTGCTGCAGAGTGCACATTGTCGTGATGTTGTCTTCAATGGTTGATGCTTATTTTCTTGAAGATGGATTGCTGCATCATAGTATATATAAAATATAGTGGTGAATATCTTCAGAAACAATTACTTTTTTTTCACACTCTTGTAATGCATTGAGCATTTTTATGTTAGAAAAGCGAAGAGAACTCATCTGATCAGTGTTTATTAATGTTTAACAATGTTTTTATATGAAACATTATGTAAAGTGAAGAAATTTTTTTATTATTAATTTTATGAATTGATTTATTTTGTTAACCTTGTTTCTCATTGTTATGCCAAGTTTCAGTTATGTTGTAAAATGAAGCAATAAAATAATTGATGCATCTTCATTTAATCTTTATTTAATATTATTTATTATTTGATTTCATTTAATCTTACTGTTTCAAAATGTTTATGCAACTTTAAAGTTACATTTATTTTCTACTTATTAATTTTCCTATTTTCCCATGTAATTTATATCACATTGAGTTTCACATGTTCGTTTATTTGATTCATTAGAGAATTGAGGGCTTATTAGTTTTTAATCGAGGGCTTGCGTTCAAAACCTAAATGGGCTAGTGACTAAAAGTAATTTATGTGATTTTGATAATTATTTATTTTATGAAGCTACATAAATTTCCTATTATTTTCTCATTTTCATATTATCCTAGGATATTGTTTACTATTTTTGTCTCTTTTACGCTCTGTAAGATTTAGTTTTAGTTCTGTAATAATGAATAAAAACATTTGTTTCTAAATCCAGATTTTATAAAATTATTTTATTTTGTGAATATTTTTATTTGTTTGTTGTAGGATTACTTACATGCTCGCTTACCAGAGTTGCTAAATCTTTATGTCTATCAAGATGTAGAACAAATTACTGGCTACTTGAGTGTTGAGCTGGGTAGGCTAGAAGCATTTATGCATCAGTCAATAATACCTAGCCAAAAAGATTCAACTTTGAATATTTCATCTTGTCAAAGTTCAGTATTACATCAGTTACTTATTGATCCTGATGAAGTTTCTTTAGAGAACTTTACTTTTGATTTGATACAGGTAAGTATCTTGGATGTATGATGCATATAAAATAAAAATAAGCCAAACTTTTAGGTGTTGTAAGCATATATGTATCAGTTTTTGGAAATAAAAAAAAAAAAAAAAAGGAAGGTAAGGGAGCAAATATTCTTTTAACGTTATGCTCCAAAATTATCTCATTCTAGCTGTTTTGAGTATGAATAATATAGGGATATTTTATTTTGTATTATATTTTACTTTAAATGTATTTAAAAAAATTCTTAGTTGGTCATTCTGAGTATTATATGTATGTATTTAACACTTTAGGGGATCTGCAGTACAACATGTATAAAGTAATCTGTATTCATGTTATAAATGAACAGATGAATGCTTGAATCTTATCTTGTTAATTTTAAAATTTGTAAATTGTAGGAACATTCTTTCCTAAACGCACACAAGAGAACAAGAGTAATTTATTTATGTTGTAGGTAGCCAAATTAATTAAAAATTGCAAATCTATGTTAAATTGCTTGAAATATCTCTATTTATTAAAAAAATTAAAATTTAAACCTTTTTATGCTTTTAGTATACCTCTGGCTGAAGCTGTACATATGACAGTATTTCCCTCTTAATGTATGCAAAAAATAATTATTTTTGTATGTAAGTTTAAAATTAATTAAAATTTGAATGAAAATCAGGAACAAATGTGTCTCATTTCAAATATCGGATGTTTCTCCTGCTAGAGGCCTCAAACTGTTGCTTTTAAAATAATACATCATTGAGATAATAACTTAAAAATATATATATACCCATATATTCAATGATACAAAACAGGACCTGTTCATAATTGGTGCTCAGAATTATGTCCTTTTGCATCTAAGCTCACTTGAAGGCATTTCTCCAAATGCTAGAATATTTTTTCAAAGTATTGTCATTAACATTTTGAAGCTATTGCTTTATGTCTTTCCTAGAACCAGTTGTACATATATTTATTAATTTATTTTTTACATTTTAACATAATGGTATAATTATTTTACATGGGGTGCACCATAAAAGCATCTATCTTTTACACAAATAGCCCTAGCCTTATTTGTCATAATGTAAAAATGTTGTTGCCATTTATGTACCTTGTTAGTGTTCCTCATAGGTAATTAAGTTTCTGACAGTGTTCCCAGTATTTTTGTCAGGAAGCCAGTTAATGCTGAGTCATTAAAATGCACTCCTGACCAAAATTATGTTTACATGCATGAAATCAGATTTTTCAGAAACTGAACTGTAATTTTATGAATTTATGTGAAATGATACATAATGTCATAATGCATAAATACTGAAGAAAGAAAATTAAGAGTACTGCATATGATATAAAACTGTAGCATGAAACAATAAAAATGGTAATAATATGTGGCAAGGAGTGTTAAAAAATTTGTAAAAAATTAAAGCTTATGAATTTAATATAGAACTCTCGAATTGCACAGACATATCATGATGTGTTTTCATACTGGCAATAATTATTAGCCACAATTTGGGGAATTAGGTCTATGTCCCCAACAATGTCGTCTTAAGCATTTACATATCTAGGAGGAGGATGCCTCCATGCAACTGCTTTTCTGAGATAGCCTTAGAAGTTCTCTATGGAGTTAAGATCAGGAGATTCTGCTGGCCACAGCATTCACTCAATGTCTTCACTTTTAAGGAATTCATCAATGAGGTTTACTTGATGTGGAGAAGCATTATAAAAGTCAGATTATAAAAGCATAAATAAAAGTCAGATCCATATGCACCTCTGAAAAGCTGCTAGCCATAGATCTGCTGTTGAAAACGTTTAGGGCTGTATGTTCATCAATCATTATTGCTCCTCATTCCCACACACCTGCATTACCAGAATGGTCACTTTCCACATTGTTCAAAGATTTTGCATATCTGACTCACTTGAGGTATAAATTTGTTTAGAATTCTACAATAAGACAAATCTCTTGATTCAGTAAAGAGAACATGGAACCACTGGTGTTCACTCCTGTTCTGACATTTTTCACACCAATTAAAGCAAGCCCTCATTGATTGTGATGATAGTGAGACACTCACCCTTGGCATTTTGATGTTAGGTCCTTTTTCATTAAGCTTTCTGTACATGATTTGTCAAACTACAATAGTTCCAGTGGCAGCTATAAGCTTGGAACTTAACTGCTTGTTACAATGAGCAATTTTCACCGGATATCGATATTGAAATGCTTTCCGTTTATAACTTTGGTCAGGCCTCCTTACAGCAGTTACTTAGTTCTGAAATTGTTTCCTTCATGTAGAGACTGTCTGTCTTGAATTATTTTTACATCTCACTACTTCCATGATTATGACTGTCTTCCCTGCTTCTGAATGGCTACTGACTGATGATGTGTCATTTCATGGATTAATCCAAATGACACTATAAGAGCCATTACAAACGGTTTTGAGTCTTTACATACTGAAATCAGATGCTGTATGTAGAATTTTTTTTTTTTTTTTTTTTTGGATAGTCACTTTCTGCAATGTGTTCAATTCACCATCATATGACATAATGCCTTGATTGCATATTAGAAACTGTTTGATGACTTTTGATTGAATGATGCTAATTAGGCTTGTCTCTCGCACATTCTGTTGCAAAAATTCATTACATTATTTCATTGAATATCATTATTTTTGGGTATGTAAAGATAAATTTGGGCATAGGTGTATTTATTCTTTTTAAAGATTCGTGCTCTAAAAAAAATCAAATTTTAGAAATTTGCTGAAGATGTTTATATTTGTGAACAGTATTTTGTTATGTGAGAATTAATTCTTTCTTTAATTTTTTTATTCTTTTTCCATAGCAAGTTAGTCGTCATGTTAAAAAATTTGAAGTAGACTTGTTGAAAGCAAAACCTAGCTGTTTTCAGCATGGTGAAGTCATTTCTGAACTGAGATTAGCAATGGAACTTCTTTTATTTGCCTGCAGGTATGCTTTATAAATGAATATTGGGTACACATTTTTTTAATAACTTTGTTCTATTCAGGGTATTCTGCGTAAAGTTGTAATAAAAGGACCTTTTTATGTTGTAGGAAAACATGGTGCTAAAATTCTTTTTTACATAAGAAGTGTATCTCTTAGAAAAATAGTTTCTGTAAGCAAAGAACTAGTGAAACATTAAAAAAATTGTTAATAGTATATATATTGAAAATAAGAATGCTGTTATAAGAGATAAAAACAACATACTTAACTGAAAGGTGTTGTTTGTCACATTAGGCAACAGTGTCAAGTAAGATGTGCTGAAATAGATTTTTGTTTTGATTCTGTCATCTCCACATGATTTCACATAAATAATAATCAAGTAAAATACGAGTAGTGCCACAGTGTACATTGCATGAAGTTGGAATGTATATCTTTTTATAGGAAATTGTTGATGCCTGTTGTCCTTTGATTCTGTAAATTCATAACATACAAAATATCTGGTTGTATTGATGAGAGGTGTATCTCAGTGTATCAATTATTTAATGCATTTTCCCATTCTCAGTTTATTTTATTTTCATTGTAATAAAATCTGTAATTAACTGGAAGAAAATTCAAGAAATTTTTATATGTGGCTAATATTATAACAAGACAATGATTTCATCCTTTTATTATGTCTCTTCTACTGCTGTTAATGTATTGTATCTGTGTAATGGGTAATTATTCCATTGTTATTATGTGTATAATATAGTAGCTATATACAGCTGTGCTATACAACAGGCATAACTTAATTGTGGCTCTTTGATCTCTTCAGTACAGTTTGTGTTGTAAGAGTCAGATGTTTATTTTTTAAATGTAATTACAGTTTGAAAGAGGTATCATGCTGTGATATTATTTTTTAACAATCAGTAGTTTAGTTTTTAAGATTATAACATGCTTAACATAAATTGGATAAAAAATTTAAATTGTTCTGTGTATACTGTTATTTAAAGCAGTAAACAAAAGATGATTAATTTTGTTTCTGTGAATTAATGTTTTTAGAATGAACAGTGGCTTTTGATATAGTAGAAAGGTAAAATACATTAATAGCAGGCTAAACCTTGAATCTTAATAAGTAACAGTATGAATGCTTATTGTTGTAGATTGCATAGAAGGCAACTAAATACATTTACTTATTCAGCTCATATCTAATGGGATTACTTAAATAACCTTGGTATTTACCTGTTGGTTCAAATTTTATTAATGATTGTTAGATGTATGAGGACAAAGAAAGAAATATTTTTTTTTATTTAGAAAAATTAACAAAATTTTTAAAAATAATAAGTGCATCTTAATTACAATTTCTCAGCTATGTTGTTCTTACCTCATTCGTTCATATTATTTTCAGAAATATGTGTGTATAATAAGAGTAAATTGAAAATAACTGGTGCTGTTTCTTAAATTACTGCAGTTATGTTTCATTCAAATGAAAATTATTTTTTCTTTTATAAAGATTATTATATCTCCTGATTTTTTTTTTCTATATGTAAAATGAAAAGTTAAAAATTTCTAAATTCTAGGAACTTACTTTTGTGAATGCAGCACAAGAGAACAAAATTTATTTATTTCAATTTAACACAATTAATTAAAAATTTCAAAACCATGTTAAATTGTTTGGAGTAGTTCTATTTACTAAAAAAAAGTTGTGTTTTTAAAAATGATGCGAGTATCTCTGTATATATCTCTTTAAAAACCTGAATTCTAACACCTTTTTTTTCCCCTCCCTGACATGAAGTTTTGCCATTGCTACTATGCTTCAAATTCCCAAATAGAATTTTTGAAGAATTTTTTTTTTTTTTGCCAGTGCAATCCCCCTTTTTTTTGTGTGTGGAAGGGCATGCTGCAGCTTCATTGAATCTTTGGGGATTCATCATATTACATTTTGGGAAGAAATAAGTAAAATATTGGAATAATTGTAGTAACTTGATAACTCATTATTGATGAAAGATGCCACAATATGACTGAAAAGCATATGGTTGATTGCTTAAGTTGTCTTCAGTTGTAATTTATTAATAAGAGTTCATTGTATATAATTTATTGAAAAGGTTCATTAATAAAATTATGCATCCTCTACTGTGGTTCTTAAGATATTATATGTGTATAAGGGATGAAGAATCCTAATTTTACTATCCTACAATCATTTTCTTTTGAGGTGGGGGCTGGAGGTAGATCTTTTGTAGTTTTCTAAATAATTTTATATCTGGTATCATAGGCCTGAAATATGTGTAATTATTTGATAGTCATGTAAAATCTCTGTGAATTCTGCAACAGCAAGAATCATTCAAAGTACACTTGCTCTTGCAGAATCTCTATTCACCTGGAAAATCAGAAAAATTAACAGTAGTAAGAGAAAATGTAGACCTTTTACATAAAGATTGTGGAAATGAGAACTTTTCCCTAAAAGCCTGTAAAATTTAAAAAAAAAAAAAAAAAAAAAAAAAAAAAAAAAAAAAAGTGTTGATCAATCTTTGAAAATAATAAAAAATTCATATTTTTGATAGTATACAATAAACAAAAAGTGCCCCGTCTTCCCCCCTGAAGAAAAAAGAAGTGAGAACTCCTGCTAATGTGACTTTTTTTTTTGTCTTTTTAACTTATAATTAAGGAAATAAGGAATAATAGGAGGAATAAGGTGTTGGCAGTATTTTAAGTACCTCAGTGCCACATGACACTATACAGAGGTACAGGTATCCAAGCCTCTTCTGGGATTTGAACTCGGGCCCAACAATTCCCCAGCCAGTATCGCTAACCACTACACCAGTGTTGCTTGTAAAAATAAAAATTAGTGAAAAGGTATGTTAGTTTAATATATTTAAATGCTCCAAATGGTTTTAAAGATGTAGTGCAGTAAAGCTTGAAAATAAACTGATTAAGAAAGAATTGGTATGATAAATAATTATAAAAGGAATTGCTCCAAAACAAATCTTCAGTTGCTGTTATTTTTAATGAGGTATTTTATGTGTTAAAGAAATGATGCTTGAATGATGATGGGTAAATTCTCATCGTTAAAATATTTTCATGTTTCTTAAAAGAATGTGTTGGGTTCGAATTTCATAATTTATGGAAGTCACAAAATATGAATGCACTTACTTAAAATTTTTCAAGTAATTCAGTTTGTTCCTTGAAAGTATTAGTAACACTAAAAGTTAGATCAGTTTAAATTGCTGTTTAGTTTGTAACTTTGAATAAAGGTGTTTTCCCATCTCCCTGAATAAATATTAAATGTATTTTAATTTTTTTTTCTTATTCTTATTTCTACATTGCTAGGTAAATTTTTTTGGTGGTCTAAGTGGAGGTAATTAAAATTTTGCATGGGAAAGAATGTATTATAAATATGATTAATGAGGCATGAAATTAATTGCTCTTAGAAGAATAAATTAGAAAAAACTTTTTATGAAAGTGAAATTGAAGTTTATAAAATGTCAAAATCTAAATTTATCAATCATCAATAAGTTTTTTATTTTCAATACTAGTTGTTTAATCTTTTTTTTTTTTTTTTTTTTAATTTCTAGATTAAGTAGGATAATGGTTGCCACTGGTCTCAATCCTTCTGCCAGTTCCTGTGGATTAGCTGTGATAAATGTTGGAATAAATAATCTGCCTCCTATTGCAAGGACAGATATTGCAAATAAGTATGAATGTTTTATTAAATTTACTAAATATTTATTTGTTATACTTTTAATATTTCTCCTTGTAATCAGACTAAGCAATATATCTATAATTTGCTTCTTTTGTTTCTTGATTCAGTTATTTTAAAAACCATCAAAGTTTTTAATTTATGAACATCAATAATATGCTTAAATGGTACATTAAAATAGTAATTTATTAATTCAAAATTTTAGGAGCTATGCAATAAAATCTGCCTTTTGCAGATATAAACATGTTTAGAATCAGATGTTAAATTAAGTATCGACTCATTAGTAAAGAAAACATGAGACTATTGGTGTTCACTCCAGTTCTGATATTTTTTGCATTAATTAAAGTGGTCTCTTTTTTGTGGGTAAGACAGTAAAACACTTATCATTAGCTTTCTGGCAATAAGGCCTTTTTCATTATACCTTCTGTATATGGTTTGCCTTAATACAACAGTTCCAGTAGCGGCTGCAGACTTTGAACTTAACTGCTGAGCAGTAGACAGTGTTACAGTGGGCAGTTATTCTCAAATATCAATCTTGAAGCAGCATTATTCATATATGATATTAATCAGAACTCCTGATAACAATTCCTGAGTTCTGAAATTATTTCCATGTCGCAGAGACTGTCTTGAAATATTTACACATCTCTCTTCCATCATGATTGTCTGCTCTTCTGTTCATGTCACAGGATACTTTGAAGGCATGATAAATCATCTGAAATCCTTACAAACTGAAATCTAATGCTGTATTGCAGAAATTCATTCAGACAGATATTCGCATTGCACAAAATTCTTGATTCACCGTTAGATGACATAATGCCCAGTTTTGCATATCAGAAACTATTACTTCTGATAATGCTTATTAATTAAACTTTCATACATTCTCTGCAAAAATGGATTATGTTGATTGGGTATTTCATAATATATCATTATTATTAGGTATGTAAAGATAAATTTGGACATGAGTGTATTATGGAGCTATTGAATGATTCAGATATGCATGTTTCATAATAAAATTTTCTTATTGGAAAACAAGAAATATGTATATTCTCTTGCCACAAAAAATATGAGCCATTTAAAGAGGGCATAAGAAATTCATTTTTATATGCTGAAACTTCAGACCAATCTCCAGGCAGAGCAAAAAGAAAGATATTTGATATTTAATTCATCTGTTGCTTAAAAAAATATGTCCAGGTCCATAAAATTGAGATGACCCTTTTTAAATAAACCAACATTTATTTTTAACACCATTTCTTGTTCTCCTAATTTTTAAATGCAACTGTTTTTAAAACAGAAAAGAAAATGTAGACATCTGTGCACTTGATCTTTGTAAAAGGTGAATGCATTCTAGTTTGCATACATCTAATATCTGTTGGCCAGGCATAAAGAATAAAGAAAGCAAAATCAGCTTACCATTTGTTGATGATGGTATGAGGGATTTATCCATAAATAATACGATGCAGATTCAAACACTAATAACATATTTATTATACTGAAACTAAAATAATATAAGCGATAGATACATTTTTTAACACAAGCACATACAGAAGCTTAATAATAACTAAAAAACAAGAGGATGATGGGATATATTAATATTACGTGATTATCATAGTTGACTAATGATAGTTGATGTGTCTTGGCATTTTTAGGGTTGCCAGAAGGGAGTTAGAAAAAAACATTTTATTTATTTATTCGCAAATGCTTGATTAATTTACAAGAAAGCATTCATGCAAGTGGTAATGTCAGTATCTCATCCAGGCTGTATGGTGAATTGATTGTTTGATGGCATTACTGTAATCATTAATGTCTGAATTAGTTGGTCAGCTTTTTGATGACATTACGGATTTTAAGAAACCATTAAAATATTGAATTTTTTCTTCTTTATTGTTGAGCTATCTGCACTTTTTTCAATAAATGTTTTTGAATACTGTGTTGTATAGTGAAAAATAAGTGAAGGAAATCTCTTATTACTTCATGGATTATTTCAATAGAGAAGCACCGGATTAAACTGACTGTGGAACAGTCTCGTAGACATTAAGTCTGTCTGTGTAATATTGATTAATCAGTAACAAAAGCATAGCTCTGAGTATTTCCAAATTGTTAACATGTATGCTCATTACTTTATGTAAAAACAAAAGGTAAACCAGTTTAAAATCTCATTCTAAATGTATGTTTATATTTCTTTTTCAGGTTGTTGGTTCTAATTGAACAATTTAGAGCTGTTTGGCTAAGTAGGAATTTACCTTGTGGCCTTGAAACATCTTTACATATGCTTAATAATCTATTGAGTAAATTAATTCCAGAAAATGAGCGTTCATTATATTCTATTAATGGAGAAGTGTCTTTCATTTAAATTTCTGTCAGTTGTGAAATGTTTACTTGAGGTGCTGCTATTGTTGTTATTTGATATGTCTTGGGATCAGTATATTTTGTAAAGTACAATGAATATTTATTTTTACTACACTTACATTTGTCCTTTTATGTGCATTTTAATATCTGCTCTATTGTACAGCTGTGTAAGTCTGTCATTTTTAATTTTTTTATTATGATTTTATGTATATAAACTTAAACCAAAAGATTTTCCACTTTTTTAAATAAAATTTGTCCACAGTTGCTGATTAAATAAAGTTTTGCTTTTTTTTTCCAATGCACAGAAAAAATACATCAGTATGACATAATTTTTATTATAATACAGATGAAAAAATTTAATTTTCAAAAAATTTGTACTACCATTGTTGAGCACAATAACTCCCAATTGCCCTTGTAGAACTGTGCCATTAGGTTTGCAAAATACTTTAACCATTTGAAGGCCACTGGTATATAAAATATACCGGTTGTTTGTCAATTTTTTAACCTCCTAAAAAATGCTAATTTTTTGATACCAAAAGCTATATTCATAAGTTTCTAGTGTTTCCTTTCGATTCTAAATGGCAGCACTACACTATGAATGTTCAATATTTTGCAGTTATGAAATTAATATACGTCGTTCCAAGGTATCATGTTTGAAGATTGATAAATTCTATGGGAGGGGAAGAAAAAATTCAAAATCTGAAAATATATGATGTACACATGCTGAATCTTATATATTTACTTCATTTCAGTCAGAAATGATAATTAACAGAATATTATTGATACGATTTTAAAACCAGTATATAATATATACTGGCGCCCACACTGAGGGTACCATGCCAACAGATGGCAGCACCAGTCTTCTCCTTTTCTACTCTGTGACATGACAGAATTTCTTTATATTATAACAGTTAATCATGCAATAATTTTTTTATGATTAGTTATAAGTTGTTTAGGATGAAGAGATGGGAAGTTTATTGACTCTGCGCTAGGACTGAATACAAGTATATTAGTTTCTTTTATCTTTGTTTACTCCACTCGAATTTCATTCTTTTCTGTTTAGCTAAAATTTTCATTTCAGCACTTATCTCTTTCCCAAGAGAAAGACTCATTGATTTCAAAATTGCCATCTGGGGGCAAAACTTTACACAATTGTGGACGTTAAATGTGGGATGTTAGCTCCTAAAGACACCCATTTCTTCGTGTTTTCCAAAATCCTAGAATGCAACCAAAATTAAAAGAGGTGATTGACAAATAATTTGTCGTTTGGGAGTCACCTTCGTCTCTTTGTGTGGAGAGCCCACCAGCGGCCGAGCGGTAAAGTCGCTGAACACTGGTAGTTCGTTTCGTGGTTTGAATCCTGCAAATGGGCTGGCTGCATGGCCGTTATCGTGGTTTTTCCCATGTGTAACATGTATACAAGCCAGTTTCCCTTAGAAAGTCATCCACAAAGGCATCCCTTCCCTTAGGCAGATAGCCCTAGTGTGCTTTGCCCTAATTAAATAAATCAAATAAACCCTTTGTGTGGTGCGATAAGATCACACAAAAGGAAAGCTCTCTTAAAATGGAGAATTGCATGAAATTAAATGCATGCTCTCTTAAGGTCCATCTCATAGTATAATGACAAAAAACTGCTGATTTAAATGCATGCTTTAGGGAAATTCTTTTTAATTCTTTGTTAATTTCGGATGAAAGATTAGGGAACACAAGAGAAATTTGCCCTCTAGGTTAGGATACAAATAGGTTGTTTCCAAAATAAAATTTCACAGTTGGTGAAAGGCGAGAAAATATATCTAAGGCCCATTTTAGATGCAAACTAAAATTTATCCAAAAGTTGAAAAGGAGCCCTTAGGAAGCCAAAGGGATTGAAAATCGGAATAAGAGCTTTGAGGTATATCAAATAATAAAATTGTTTAACACCGTTTCTACCTGAACAAAAAGATATATTACAACCTATATTTACAAAAAGAAACTCTTATGGTCCTCAATAATCTAAAGTGTGTGTGCATGGAGGGGGGGGCGGCTCTTGCTATCATAGCATGAAGCATGGTTTTTTTATATATTATCTAAAGCATAAAATATAACTTCATAAATGCAACATACTTTCTCAGCTGAGTCGTAGTGATTCATTTTTCATTTTTAAAATTTTTCGGCTGAGTTATTACATCTGCTTGTAATATTATACTAGTTCAGTTACAGCATGATACAATTTATGCGTGCAGTGTTATATTTGCTAATTTTTTTTTATAAAATAATAATATTGAATTTAAGCCAAAGTAAAAAGCTTTTTACCCTTATTTTACATAAGTATGTTCAGCTGGTTTGCATCATCAAAGTGCATAAAAACATACATTTTATTTTTTAAATTTCTAGCAAAATTTTAAAATTTAAAAGTTTTTGTCTTCAGACTTACATAAATATATTCAAGCACTCATCTCTACAGACGCACATCAAAAGTACACAAAATTAATTTAAAAAACAAAAATTAATAATTTTCAGCTACCTGGAAAAAAATGTCTTAGAGGGGCACCAGTGTAAAATCTGGCTCTCAAAATTCAGGATTTCGCTCTAGATTTTTAATTTAAAAGTCTAAATGTTATGTCCTTAGGGTCCATAAGTTATAGTTCATACAAAATTTTACCACAATTTAAATTATTTTTATATACCGCCCTTCAAAAGGTTAAAGGTGAAAATGAGTACATATACAGAAAAGTGAATCCTTCACTGCTTAGAGGGAAAAAAAAGTAATAAATTGAGCAAGCTTGCCCATTTTTTTCTTCTTTATTATTCTGAAAACAATGTAGAATATCTGGCAAAGATAGCCTATTGCTTATTTATTTTAGAACACAAATTTAATGTGTGATTTCTTGACGCAGAACCAAAAGGACTTCTGTTTTCACACATACACACTAATCTTAAAATAAAAAAATAAAATTAAAAAAATAAAATAAAATTAAAAAAAAAAAAAAAAAAAAAAAAAAAAACTCGTAAACTTTTCTCGTTGTGGATATTTAGTGCTATCTTTTGGAAAAAAGCTGATTTAAACATTTAAATGCAATGTCTCTGACAAAAAAGTGTTGGAAATGAGTCTGTAAAATACTAGATTTCACAGTTTATTGGTCAATATGTATTACAGCTCTTTCAAAAGACCCCTTTTAATTGTATTGCACTTAAGTTTGTACTTTTCTCAGTCCTCAAAATGTATTTCACATTATTTTTTGAAACCTCTTCAGGATTTGTGCATCAGTAAGTTGAAAACAATGACCTTGAACTAGCATGGAAATAAGATAGTGAAATGTTGCCATATCAGGTAAATCCACAGCCTGCATTTGTATTTTTTGAATTTATGACCTCAAATCCACAAACATCAAAGGGAACTGTGATCAAATGCATTATTGTGGTGCAAAATTCATCAGTTGTCCTGCCATAATTTAGATAATTTTCAGGAGATTGCTTTATGCAAATGATGCAGAGCCTTCAAATAATAATCTTTGTAAACACATTTGGATAGCTGGTAGAAATTAATGTCGATCAACAGTACCTTGATTTTTGACTGACTGAGACATTGTTTTATTTCGTTTCGCTTCATTAAGCAGGCTGAATATTCAGTGAACAAAACGAATATTCATGTGAATGACTTTTTCATCATTAGTAACTCTTGGCCACTCAAATATGTTATTGGTTTTGGAATAAATTCATTGTTTTTAATAGCTTGAGAAGGTGCGATTTGCATATTCAAATGATTTTAAAAAAATTCTACACATGATCCATATGATATTATAACTTATTCAGTGATATCCTTATTGGCAAATGATAACTGTTAAGCTCCAAATCTGTGGCGTTGATCGCCATGTTGAGTATTTGTTGAATTGGATGGTCTGTTAGAGTGTGGTTCATCTTTGATCATTTTCTGCCTTCCTTAAAGTAAACCTTGAAAAAAAAAATTTTTTTTAAAGCATTGTCTATAAAGCTGTTTTTATAACGTTTCAAATGCTTTTGTAGCAGAAAAGCCATTGCAGAAATAAAATTTAATGCATTTTTTTTTCTCAGTTACATTTGCTATTTAGAAAAATTGCCAAAATAAAAATTCTTTATTCATTAAGATTAAATTTATCTGCTAATGCTAAAAGAAAATGAAATCCATATTATTGTTACTAGATGTCAATGAAAGTTCTAACAACGTAGGAAAAACTGTGCAAGCAATTTCTTGTGCAGCCATTTTTTAAATGAATCATTGGCAGTGTTTTTTATCACATTTAATATACATGATTTTAAACGTTACATTCAATATGTGTTACGTCATATGCTAGCCGCTTGAACTGAAAAAGGTGTAAAGATTAAAAAAATAAAAAAATCCACATTATTTCATTTTTAATAAGAATTATTAACTGGTTACAAATTCTGAACAGAGAAATTTACCTTGTGTATTTTGTAGAATTTTAAATATCTTGTAAAAAAGATTTGGCAACCATAGGATTTTTATTGATCTGTTTATTAAAATTACTGATACCAAAATAAAATTTTGTTTATGAAGCTCAAAATTTTATTTTACATAAGCATGCTTATATGTTATCGTTATTATATTAAATTTTTGCAAAATTTTTAAAGCTTAAACAAGTGTGTGATTAAATGAATATTATAATGACCTTGTACAGTATAAAAATCCTTTTTGTTTTATATTAATAGTCTGTTATGAGAATATTTTTTTTTAAAAACATGCTATATATTGGAAATTATGGTGGAAAAGAATGTTTGAAATCATTCATCAAAAAAATGTATTAAATTATGTATTGAAATTTTTCATGAGCATGTAAAAATTATTAAAATTTATTACATGATTTTAAATTTGTATTTTTTTTAATCTTTCTGTGCCGAAAATTTTTGGATGACCAGGAAATGTATTTAGTATTAACTGTTATTATTTACTATAAAAACTGCGGTACATTCAGTTAATATTTATGTTTCAGTAAAATCTATACGCTGTGCCCAAAATTATGATAAATGTTTCTATAAAGAGTTGAATTATTATATTTTTATGCTCTGCTTAGTTATTAACTTTTTATTTGCTATCGGCTTGTATACTGTTTGAATAAGTGTACCCAATTATCATTTAAGTTTAGATGTGCTCATCATCTGTTTAGATGTTTATATGTGAATACAAATATCAATAGCATTAATATTTTAATAGCATTAATATTTTAATGTGAAAAATGCTTTTGCTGATTCATAATTAAATTTTCAGTGTTCAGCTAGATGAAGTATCTAAACAAATGTCTAAAGGGAAAAAAAAATTAAATGGGCTACATTATATTAAAATATATATATATATATTATTCTAGTCATATGCCAATATTTAAATTTTGTCACTTTTCTTTTGACTTGCTTAGAATATTCAGTTAGAAATAAGTCAATGTTTTCAATCTTCAGAATTATTAAATGCTTAGTTATAACAGACATAAAATTATTTATGCATCAACATACATAATTAGTTTTGATTTGTATTATTATTATTATTTTGAAATGCTTTACACATTTTACTAGAAATGAATGTTATGCAAAAACACTTTCTAAATACTGTGTTTCTAGTAGCAAAATATTATTCAAGTGCTTTCTTTATGCTTTTTTTGTTATATGATGAAATATGTAAAAATTCTGATATTGGGAACTGCAATGAAAATTAAAAAATATATATTTTTCCATATGCAGTTTGTGTTTTTATTAGTACAATGTATGTATTGCATTTTGTACATTTAACGGTTATTATTATTTTGAATTAACCAGTTATTTATGGTTTTAACCTTTACTGTAACCTCTTTTTGTTTTGTCATCAGAAATGTAAATCAATTAGTATTTAAGCTGAGGTTTTTGGATTTTAAGACACAGCATATTTCTGCCTCCCAAGGCCATGTTACTAGCTATCATCAGCTGTAACAGGATTAAAATTATTCACCTTTGCATTATAGCTGCTATCATTTAAAATGTTTGTGCCAGTAGAAGTTCTGTGTCAACTTATAATTAAAGTTACAGTTGAATTTTGAGATATGAGTTTAATTGATTCCAGCATTGAGCTCATATAGCAAATTTCTCATCTAGAAACAAACTTCCCCATTGAAAATAATGGAAATCCAGTTAATCCATTCTACATGCCTAAAAAATATCAACATAACAATTAATTTTCCTAATAAATAGCACTGGTAAATAATATAATCGTAGTTTACCTTTATGAAGCATCTTGACTGGCGATAGGGATGTGGGGAAGATGAAACGTATTACTGTGGGAAAGTATTCAAGAATGCTTTCTCTTCTTGGGAGTTTTACCTCACTGGAAGTAGGTTCTGAGTCAGAATCACTTAACTTATTTTAGTTGCAGGTTGTTTTATAAAAAACATATAATAATAACACTTGCTTCTGTCTCCCTTTTAAGATATCTATAAAATGCAACACTACATTATCCTTACATAAGTCCTCACAAGTTCATAGTGTATCCATGCATTGCTTTATAAGAGAAGTCCTCATCTTCCATTCCTTTCTCTCCTAACAAAAGCTCTTCTACCACCTCTTGCTGCTACTCCTCCTTGTGAAGTTCTTTAAGTTCATCTGTTGTAAGTTCTTCACTATGCTCCTTCACTAACCCATTCATATCCAGACCCATACTTTTCCCTAGAGATACATTCTTCGACTAATTTGCACTGTGTTGTCCATTGGTTAAGGATTGAAACCTAAGTCAGGAATACCTCGAGGCCACAGTTTTTTCCATGCTGAATCCAGGGTCCTTACTGAGAAATCTTCCCAAGCCTTATGAATGTGGTTTAAACAATTTAGGATGTTGAAGTGATCCTTCCAAAATCTCAGACAACAATCTTCTTGAGAGGCATCATGAAATAATTACTTTCACGTCAAATGTAAAAAACAATTAATTCACAAGGGCACAAACACGTAGATAAAAAAATACTGACTTGATCTGACGAGGGGATTCCTCATGTTGAGCCAGATAAGGAAATGCACCATGCATATCAACAGCCTGGCCCATTACTTGAGTCAATGCTCGTATTTAGAGACAAATTTTTCGCTCATACTTTTCTCGTATCTTGAATTTCTCGTATATATAGAGGTGCTTGTAAATTATCTTAGATTACTAGGCTTAGTTTAAGTTGTGAAATTTACTCAAGTTCCACCGAGACAAATTGTTACTGATATTGTGAGCACGAGATGTGTGTTCAAGTTCTGATTTTGATAAAAAGGTTAACATTTCCAAGACTGTTGTTAATTTCAGGCATAGTGATAATTCGCTCTATATCTGTTAAGAGTTTGAATTTAGTTTATGGAACCAAAGAATGTCAAATGTATAGTGGCGCTCGAACAAAAGTACGAACAATGGCTCAAAAACAGGCAAATTTTAGTCTTCCCCCCTCCCAAGATCGTAGGCTCCACTTGCAGCAGTAAAACCCATAGAAGGTTTTTGTTTCATCGTAGATCGATGTGCGCTTCAGTGAACCGACAGTTGGTGGTTTGATGGCAGAAGTTTCATAATGATCATTTTGGAACAAGTGGATTTGTATTTGTTTTTGCTTTACCAATTTAAAAAAAAGTAGAAGGGAACTATAGCAACCACCGCACTATGAGGGCAGGCACTGAGGGGATTAGTAAATTTTTTTTCGAAAAAACAGACAGCAAGCAGAACTGTTTAGTAGATATCATACTAAGGTCGAAGAACTGAGTTTCTTTTGAGAAAAATTCAAGTCATAAGCCTATTACATGGGGGGCGGGGAATAAACCATGCGGAAGTCATAAAAATTATCCTTACTAGGTCGTTACCACAAATTCAGGACTTTGTGGAACCTAGAAACTCGAGTATGTTAGAACAATTACTTGAGCTTATGGTTAAGTTATAAAGTATGAGGGTATTAGAAAGTATGCATATATCGGGATATGGCCAGAGATCCAGGGGATATTTGCGTACGTCTGTAGTGGAACAAAAGCCAAG